CCTATAATCTCAGATTTGGGGGAAGATAAAATGTACTATTGACTGGTCACATGACCTAACTGGTGATTTGTACAATTCATCTTCCCTGAAAGCAGGGATTTAGGACTTTCCAGGGAATTAGTTCATCTATTCCATGTCATGTGACCATGAATAAGCCAATGAGCATCTAGAATACATTTGAGGTAAGCTTATATAATAAAGTAAAATAAACGCCTTCTAAACTAGCACTAAAACCCCTAGAACTGGCCCGGCAAGGTGAATAATATGTATTGTCAGTACCTCAGTTGAAATACTCGATTTTGATTGGTCAACGAGCGGTGAATAATTTTAACTGTACACCGCGCAATGCATTGCCGGTGAATAATATTCCCAGCATTCCACTAAAATGACGTCATTATCAGACGATAAAATGGCCGCCGCTAGCACTAGCCGTTTCAAAAATGTTGAAGATGAGGATATTATTAGTCTCTTAGAGAGTAAAGACAGTCAAAATACGAAGAAAAATCTAAAACTTTGTACAAAGCTTTTAGTGGACTTCGCCCAGGAGAGTAATTTGACTCCATTGAGTGAACTTACTGCCGTCTCGAGGGTCTGGATTTTGAAGTCGTCCTATCATCGCACGGGTACTCAGGGAAACTACTGACGATTTCAAATATGATAACTTCAACTTACTTTGAGAATATGAGACGAAAGATCAACCTTTCCTCTAAAATCTAAGTAGTGTTTGACATTTCTCAATCTCCGAACGCTAACACTTTAAGACCCCTTAGACTCGCATGTGCGGTGGTCCTAATTATCGCACAGTCGTCCTAATTATCGCACAGTTATGTTTCAGATGTCATTTCACGATACTGGTATACATTTCTCTGTTTATAACAGATACATACATATGCTGTAATCATTTTTCTATCAGTTTTAGTGTAAAATATCAACAAAATATACATTATACACTTACTTTTCTGTCTTTATTTGGAGGGGGTCAAAATTTGTCAGACAAATTTCACTTCTTGCGCAAAAGCATTTATGACAATGGAGGAAGTAAACAATTCTTAAAAAATGAAGAGATATTTCTAAATATATGAATAAATCATGAAGATTGGGAGTAATGGTGTTGAACTGTTTTTCGTAACACTGGTTTAAAAGATGGTGGGTGCATATTTTAGCTATTTAGGACAATCGTGCGATAATTAGGACCGTGCGATAATTAGGACCACTTCCCCTACAAAGCTTTTAGTGGACTTCGCCCAGGAGAGTAATTTGACTCCATTGAGTGAACTTACTGCCGATATACTGAAATACAACATGAACGTCTCGAGGGTCTGGATCCAACTTCAAGTCAACTTCAAGGGTCAGAAAAATCTAAGATATTCTTCGGACTAACAAAACAATTATAGACCTCTCCATTCGGTTTACTGTCAAAATTATATATAATTTTGACAGTAAACCTCTGGAGAGGTCAATAATTGTATATTATTACCACCTTGCCGGGCCAGTTCTAGGGGTTTTAGTGCTAGTTTAGAAGGCGTTCATTTTACTATATCGACCTGAGAAATGTGTGACGTCATAGTGGTGGTCCATATGGACCGGTCTAGAATGTATTCTGGACCGGCAATTTTCCCCGGGAAATTAGATATCGTTCAATGCGTAAGATTTTCTTGCTGTTTCAGTCTTGGTCGTTAACGGTGGTAATAATACTAATAACGTCATTTCTGCGAGCAATATAGTGAAATATTGGACCTTGGGCCTTCGGCCCTCGGTCCAATATTTCACTATATTGCCCTTAGAAATGACGTTATTGTACTAATGTCACGATTAACTGATAATCGTATACCTACATGTATTTGTTTCTGAACAACATTAACATTTCTATTACCAATTTTAAACACTGGTTCCACTGCATGATCACACTACCCTACCACGTGACCACGTTTAAAAGGGAAACAGGGTACAGCTAAGTTGCAAATGGAGGACGTGGGTTTAGTTCCATATTTCTGAACGTAAAATACATTTTACATTTATTTCTAGTATTCTACCAGACATAGAATTGATTCATCGAGCAGCTTGTAGAATATTGTTGGCAAAAAAACACTATAGGCAAAGATAGATAATAGTGGGCGCAGTGAAGCAAAACTCAATGCAATACACGATACATTTCAGTAAATCTATCAACGTACAGGGAGCATGTAACATTGATATGTAACAACAAAAAAAACAGTTAACTGTCATTTAAACTGTGTCATCGTGTTATATGTGGATACGTTTTCCAGTATGTTATTCAACTGTATTTTTGTGAATTAATTGTTTTTCTAAAATCTTAAGATGCAAAAAACGTCGTCCCAGAAATGTATCTTTACTTTGCCGTAAGGCATAACATATTGTGAAACATTTTTCCTCTTGTCACAAAGAGGATAATGTTTGTTTCGAGGTGTGATGAGCGTTTCATGATTAAATACAAAATCACTGGAGCAGATACCATCCAAAAACATCTGACATTCAACACGTCATCTAAGACTTCATCGATCTGGTATTAGTTTTTTACAATAATAGAGAAATACGAAGTCATATCAGCGCTATAGCAAATCGTGAAGAACAAAATTCTCTCAAGTCGTGGCATGATGGTATTTTGAACAAAATATTTTGAATGATCGGTTTTTGAGAACGGTAGTGAATTAGACCATTCAAGGCGTTATATAAATCTACAAAATAATGTTTACTTTATTTGGATTAAATAACAATTGATGACACCTCAAAGCATCAACAGGCGGCCTTTTTTAGCATTATTTTCACTGTTTGCAACGTAAATGTACATGAGATCGGGACATTGTATGTCTGTATAATCAGCTTACTTTCTCGCTCCCTGTACTATTGAGCAATTTACATTCCTTGTACCCTGTATTGATCAACTTTTGCAACTGTGTACCGTGTACTATGACATATCAAATATTTTAAAATTTAAAACGATATTATTTACATTCTTTCTTCAACTATCATATAACTTGGAACATGGACATCACTATTGTACCACTGAAGTTCACCGAATAGCAATATTGACTCACTCCGAGCACCAAACGTATTAACCTTCTGACTAAGCAGTCGAAATACTCAAAAGCGACGTGGCTGAAAGCCAAAAAAATTGCGCATGCGCTATCGAGGTAGGGTAGTGTGATGATCTCTATCACCATAAATCATTATATTGCATTTGCCAGGATGAATTTCATATCTCCATTTCATACTGTGATTATAAGCTAAATTAAGTAATGTATTCATAGATGTCGTACTAGTAGTACTAGTAGTTAGAAAAGAGGTATCGTCTGCATATGCAGGACAGGTGACATCCATTTCCCCCACCGATGCACCTATGCCCAGGGCTTGTAACTCAGTTAGTAAGTCAGCATTGAACAATTGGTACATCAGCATGGAATAGACCCCACCTTGATGGACCCCCTGGAGTACATCGAATGGATCAGACAGCATGTTATTTACTCGCACCATGATTTGTAATTATTGTAGGACTTGTGTAGCCTAGTATTCTCCACAATTTTCCATTAATACCTATGTTAGACAGTTTAAAAAGTAGCCCATTCAAATACACATTATCAAAAGTTTTACGAATATCAATTGCACAAACATACACATTCTCTCGCTTATCGAGATTATGAGCTAGTGCTTCTTGCAAAATCAGAGAAGTGTGAACCGATGAGCAGCCATCTTGTGACGCTCCCTGCAGTTGGGGAATATGTTTTAGAATAGTGGGCTTACTTTTGCTTAGAACGATATTGTCAAAGATCGTTCTTAAGACTCTCATGAGAGTTATTCCTCTAAAATTGTCCTGTTATAATGGATCACGGTTACCTGACTTTAAAAGTGGCAATAACATACCCATTTGAAAATTTTGTGGAATAAATTCATTGCCAATTATATTTTGTATTAATATCTTAACTACTATGGAACAAACATATTCCGCTGAAACATTGTCAAAACCAGTTGCACGTTTCAAATTCAGGGAAAGAATAGCATTTAAGATCTCTTCATCAGTCATCACATAACACGGTATCCTCATAATTGCTAGATTCAGTCAACATACGCTCTATGGCGTTGTTGACTACCAATTCGTGGTTGGGATCGAAGTTCTGATTATCACCCGGAGTGGCAAGGTTTTTAAAGTAATTTCGCCATTCTTCACAAATATCACTCGGGTTTGACAATATTTCATTGGAATGTGTACGTCGGATTAAATTGGAGTTAACCTTACACCCACCTTACACCCACCAAGTGCCAATACATCCAGGGATTTAAATCCTCCAATTCATACAATCTTTTTAATTCATTCTGTTCAAATTTATATTCTTCAACTTTATAAGATTTTATATGGTTTTGCAGACATCGTTTATCTGTAGCTATAGGTACAACGGCTATAATAATAGTTTTTCTCAACAGAAAAGTACCGGGGAAAATCCACAAGGGGGGGGGGCTATACCCATTTGTCATCTTCAATTGCTAACTTGTATCAACTTTTCTTTTGCATGTTATAGGGGCAGGGGCACTATATACTTTTCAGTGTCTCGCTCCTTTCATCATCAATGTAATTTTGTACGATATGTATAGATAACAAGGAGTTTAAGCTTGCATATAAAATCGAAACGCCAACCTCGTATGACCAATCGCCCATACAAATGAAACGCTATTTTCCGTTCACGATTAGGTTGTGAAAAAAATTGCCGCGCAAACTTAAAGCCCCTTATAATCAAATTGAACGTCTGAAAGAATGAGCAATGTTTTACGATACAAGGGTCGATCAAAAAGTTTTCTTACCGTTGGCTCTAGATTTCATAATAAGAGGAGTTGGATGCTCAAACTTTAACACGTGACAGGGCAATTAGTTTGCTTGAACCTGAAGGAGTTTCATACAAATCGGTCGTGACATGACATTACAACACTAATGGTGACTGTAAGCAGTCTGGATATACAAATGAAAACAAAAGACCTTATATATAGCCAAAAACAAAATTTTATTAGATACGATTGATTGTTCAAGTATAGCATATGCATACAAATAATTAACTTGGGTTTCGAATATACGCCGAATGGTTGTATACATGTACTTTCCCTCAAAAATGAATATATGGGTGCAACCATACAAAACTTTCTAGTCAGTGGTGCAATATTTTTGCAACCAATAATGCAACAGAAATTAAAGTCTTAAATTTTTTTTGTTTTGAGAAATCCCTCCAATTCAGAAGAACTAATAGTCTTAATTCACATGGAATAATTCTCAAATTATGGTTTTATGGTCTGTGCTTTAATCTGACCCCATGAATTCCCAAATATTTTACGTTAGAACATATTCTACCATATTCTGATGGCCCTCTTAAGGCATCCCTTTATGTGGATTATATATATATAATCTAATTCTGTACATCGTAATGTTTACATGTTGCAATGTTCTTCGAAGGACTCAAATAGTCTTTCCCCTTTTCACTGCTGAGTATTTTACACTCCTTAATCGCCGTGTTTGGAACCTAAGGATTGAAAAACACACAAAAGGAGATAATCAATTCATGGTTATAAACATAATAGCCACAGAAAAGGACGTACTCCGACAAAAATAACATTTGATTTCAGACGGCATATACCCTCAATGTGAGTATTTTCTGATCAACAGAAAAATGTATTTTAAGGCCAATGCATTATCTTCAAAAAGTACATAAAATAATTAAACTATAAATCTTGAGACACTGGGGGGAGAGCAACCCATCAACTGATTTTAAAGTTATAAAATGTATTTCTCGTGATACTGATAGCACATTTTACATGAAATAACCATACGGTAAAACTTTAGTGACCACACCATCATTAAGGTGACAACGATGGATAGCATGAATAATTATGCCTGCTGCGTACATGAAAGCATCACCCTTATGGAAAATTTAGTTTTCAATTTTGTCTCAGTTCGAGCACTTCTTCTTTGAAGAAGTTATTGATTTGTCACATAAATTTAATTGTGCATAAAACATTTTGAAAATACTACCAGCATTGAGACTTGCTTGCTATACATCTCATATTTCAATTCACATCTTAATTATTTTTGGCCAAAAATAAACTTTTTGTGATGATCAGAAATCAGAGTGGAGAGTGCATGTACAAATGGCTAATCCGAATATATAGCTGCACTATTTACCACCAGAGTCTTACATATAGATTTCCACAAATCACCTTATTTCTTTTGATTAAAGATCATCTACCTTATTTAAGGGGGTGTAATGCATGTTAAGATGCGACTCGTAAGTCTTGGACACAGGGCTGTTGGACTTGAGAGTATACGCCATAAGGAATGCCCAGCGTCTATTCTCACTCAGATTGCGCCCACTTGTGTGTAGTATGTTGCTGTGGAAATACAATGCATCACCTGTGATAAATAATGTTTAGCAATTAACAAGAAATAGCTTTGACGTATATTCTCAGTGTTGTTTGGCATCGAAAAAGAGGGCATAATGATAGCTCTCGAGTAGACACTTTTTTTAAATTTCATTATTGATGTATTTGTTTCAGCGACTGCGACCCTCCCTCCCTACTTAATCTCAAACCAGACATGTAGCACCCAGTTTGATTTGAATTTGGATTATAACGATGCCGTCTGTTTTATTCATCAACATGAAGGGTCGTTTCATAGACAAACTTTGTATCATAGAACACTTGTATCCGTTGAATAGACTTTGCAAATATATAGTGGTATATACCAGGTTCCAGTTCGACAAACTGGACTGGGAGTTTCTCTAGAATCCACCCGACTCTCTCCGTGTCAGCTTGCTGCTGGTCCCCAACCTGTTTGTGGTCCAGCCTTCCACATTTGTGAGACCTCTTGATTACCTGTAACAGTAATATACAGCAATAGGCATGGCTCAGGAATTCCACCTTTAAACATATTTTAGTATCCTTTTCGGAAATAAAATATATTTGCACAAGTGGTATCTTAGAAAAGTAAGTCTTAAAGTGGAATATACGTCAATTATAACTTTGAAATATTCAAACATTGAACCACTCGCACTTGGACAGGGTTCCATTTAGCACTTGCAGTCTTGTACTTACCTGCAGACAGCCATTGCCTTTCTCACATTTATCAATAGCAATGAAGACAGTGAGGGCATCGGGCCAAAGCAGTCCATTTTGATACCAATACCTATAAAAGCAACAAGAACTGAATAATAACTTCTATTCCCTGTAAAACATATGTATATTAGTAAAAGGGGTGCATTAGGGATTGGCGCAAGACGAAATAACAAATTCAACATAAATAGTACTAAGATGGTTTACCCGTAGTCTTGATGCCAGTTCCACTGGCCTCCTGTTTTAGCCTGCTTCTGTACCAACTTGCAGTGATGCATGTAGATCTCCCCGCCATCCAGTAACTGGAAATATAGTAATAGTAAAAAAATGTATTTTCTAGCTGGGGTTGTACGAACGTGCATATATGCAGGGTGGCCCAAAAAGTGAGAATATCAGCCCATTAATGCAAGTAATAACTGAGACATAGCTTGTTGCAATGGTTCACTTTTTTGGACCCCCCTGTAAAATACTTGTTGAACCTACAGTTTTACGTCTGAGTTGTTGGTTTGGTATGTAGTTATGATTAGTGGACTGAGAATGAACTTATGAATGATAGATAGGAATTGGTCCAAGAACGCTGGAGCTGTCAGTTGGGACTATGTATTTGAACAATAAAGCTGCCGATTGATTCATGAGTGGTATAGCTGTCCTTTGGGAATGTGAATGGTGGAGCTGCCGGGATGACTCTAAAACGAATAGATTATCGTTCCCTTGTTTTTTATAATGATATAATAAACTTACGTCTTCTGCAATGTTGACGACCTTCTCACTCCTACATACCATACCACTTACATCCTCCCCTGGGTGGTTCCACACGCTGATGCTTGCAGAGAACTCAGAAGAACCATGCTCTTTCTGAAAATAACAGTAGGGAGTGGGACCACACTCTGGTACTACTAATCACATGTTGCAGGACACATATTGGAAAGCCTAATCACTATCACGAGAAATGATGGTTAATTATGTATATTTTATTTTACAGATTATGATTCTAAGTCTAATTAGTGAAACAAGATCTGATCCGAATGTAGAGAAGTTGCTTGAATTAAAGTTGATCTGCATGCCTATAGCTAGTGGTGCAATGCAATCAGTTATTTGGCACTTTTACTCTTTCCAACACTTACTTGGTTCCAGGTATTCTCCTGAAGCTTTTCATCATGAAGGAAAGATTCCCCGAGCAGCTTCACCTCATCTTTATCCAACAGATTCCTATTTTGAACAATATACAGTATAACTTGCATAAGGATTTGGAAGTGTTTTGAAATGAGCTTGACATTCTATCACATGTGAACATTCGTACTGGTAGGATCGAGTACGATTAAAGCGAACTTGTCATTCTCGGTGCAGTGCATGGTGCATGACAATTGAAATTTTTAACAAGATAATGATTCTTACAACGGTGGTATTCTTTACCTTATGATAACAAATCCATTCTCGTTATAATCAGATTTAACTTCTTTCGTTACGCTGAAGCCATCTTTATACTGAAACTCTGAAAAATATTAATGCGAAACAGATTTGTTAAAATCTAAAAATTAAGAGATTTATAGGATTGTTCTGATGATGAATCGTAAATCTGTAATGTTAGAAATATATGTTGATTAATTTGATGTATGCAGCTGTTACGCGGTAAACACGATACAAAAATATGTCATATTCCGCAACGAATATGGCATATTCGCTTGCGGTGTATGACAGATTCACCTGCGGTATATGGCATACACACTAACCAATGAGAACGTGATACGGAAGTACGCAATTGTCAATATCATCGATTGAACGAACAAGTAAAATTTTATAAATTATTACAATGATTACTGAATCAACAGTACTGTGTATCGAATATATTAACTTAGCAGAAGTATCAGTCACCAATCTCGCGTAATAAACTTAATCAATCAAGGATTCATATATTAGTATTCGACGCACTAACAATATTGGTAATCCAGCGTAGTTTTACATTTTGAGTCGATTCTCGCAACCAATCAAATCAAGGCTTTCTGTATCACGTTTTCACCTGCGGTATATGGCATATTCACCTGCGGTATATGGCAAATTCCGCAAGTGAGTATGACATATTCCGCAGGTGAGTATCGGGTATTCACTGAAATCAATGTATCGCATATTCACTGCCGAATATCGCATACTCACCTGCGGAATATGCCATATACCGCAGGTGAGTAATGAGTATGGCATATTCACCCGTATCACAAATACCGCGCAACCATGAATGTATGCCATATACCGCGTAACAGCAGCTGCTGCTGCGGATCTGTACCAAAACAACATTCTCCCTCGTTTGAGGTTAAGGTACGTAGACGATTGTGATCATGAGGAGCTCATGCTTCGATGCATTTAATCAGCATGGAAGGTTGCATCGTAATGAGACGGATAAATCCATGATCATCTTCGACATACTCTAATTCAAAACCTTTAGCCGACTTGTCACTGTTTTGAATACAATCACCGATCCAAACAATGATTGCCTGCAAAGATGTTGTATGCTACATCCAATCGTAAAAGTTGACCTTGAAATAAGTACCAGACATTGTGAAGATGTGGTTTATCCTGTATCCTCAGACGTGTTTCACACTTTTAGTTGGAGGTCCTGAATGGAGGCACTTCCTTTTGTCACGGTGGTATTTGCGATTTAGGCGACCAAATGCTCCGGAATCAGCTAGAAATCACAGTCAATCGCAGTTTTGTTATTTGAACAAAGTGTTGATTAAAATGTAGAATGTTTCACCAGATACAAATAGCCTACGTGTATATTGTCATTCTCGACCTAGTTCAGGCTACTTATAGTGATAAGACATAGATTGCCTGGTTTGGTAAAGTTACCTATATTAAATTGATATACAGGTAGTAGCACGAGAAATTTCAAAATCGTAATTTGGATTTCCCGCCATACAGTATGGCCATTTATGGTAATATGAATTACCATGCAAGACACCATATCCATCATTTAAAAAATATCAGAAATAAAAAATAATGTTAAATATATAAAAAACATATCCATCATAGTGTAGCCATTGGTGCCCCCCCCCCCCCTCCCCGATAACCAATAAAAAATAGAACCATGAGATAACAAGAAGAAAAGTGCTTTTAAATGCTTTTTAAAATAAAAATAAAAGGTTTTTATTTTGTTCTATACAATTTCTATAGAAATATATTTTGGCTTCCATCTTTAGCTATGGATTCAGTGCCAATGCCCGAAGACATAACTGCCAACATCTTTATTTTTAAGAATTCAATGTCAGTGCCTGAAGACATAACTGCTACCATCTTTATTTAAGAATTCAATGTCAGTGCCTGAAGACATAACTGCCACCATCCTTACTTATGAATTCAGTGCCAATGCCTGAAGACATACTAGTAACTTATGTACTTATGAATTTAATGCCAATGCCTGAAGACATAACTGCCACCATCTTTACCTATGAATTCAGTACCTATGCCTGAAGACATAACTGCTACCATCTTTACCTATGAATTCAGTACCTATGCCTGAAGACATAACTGTCACCATCTTTACCTATGAAATCACTACCAATGCCTGAAGACATAACTGCCACCATCTTTACCTATGAAATCACTACCAATGCCTGAAGACATAACTGCCACCATCTTTACCTATGAATTCAGTACCTATGCCTGAAGACATAACTGCCACCATCTTTACCTATGCATTCAGTGCCAATGTCTGAAGACATAACTGCTACCATCTCTACTTATGAATTCAGTGCCAATGCCTGAAGACATAACTGCCACCATCCTTTCCTATGAATTCAGTGCCAATGCCTGAAGACATACTAGTAACTTATGTACTTATGAATTTAATACCAATGCCTGAAGACATAACTGCCACCATCTTTACCTATGAAATCACTACCAATGCCTGAAGACATAACTGCCACCATCTTTACCTATGAAATCACTACCAATGCCTGAAGACATAACTGCTACCATATTTACCTATGAATTCAGTGCCAATGCCTGAAGACATAACTGCCACCATCTTTACCTATGAATTCAGTACCTATGCCTGAAGACATAACTGCCACCATCTTTACCTATGCATTCAGTGCCAGTGCCTGAAGACATAACTGCTACCATCTCTACTTATGAATTCAGTGCCAATGCCTGAAGACATAACTGCCACCATCCTTACCTATGAATTCAGTGCCAATGCCTGAAGACATACTAGTAACTTATGTACTTATGAATTTAATGCCAATGCCTGAAGACATAACTGCCACCATCTTTACCTATGAATTCAGTACCAATACCTGAAGACATAACTGCCACCATCTTTACCTATGAATTCAGTGCCAATGCCTGAAGACATACTAGATAGTAACTTATGTACTTATGAATTTAGTACCAATGCCTGAAGACATAACTGCTACCATATTTACCTATAAATTCAGTTCCAATGCCTGAAGACATCAACATCGGATAAAAAATGGCAGAGATATATTTAATATTAGAAATAGTGGTAAAATTTAGTTGTCATGGAAACGGGCGTCTAATACATCATTGTCCCTCATTATGATTTAAAAAATATATTTCTTCACTGAAAGCATATATAAACAAAGAGATTAAGGTATGACACGTCCTTATATACTCTGAACTATTATTCTCCTCAAATTCTCATTTTCACTCCTCGTCTATTATGCCTTATGCTTATCCCCCTCGCTGACTGAAAACCGAAACAAAATTGGCGATTCGCACCCCCTGACTGAACGCTAGCTACCCCCCCCCCCCCCAAAATAATATGGCGGCTAATGAAGATTTCACTATGACCGTAAGTAGACTAAAGTATTGTCTATGTTTATGTCAATAATCTGCAAAAGGCTAATAAGCCCATATAAAGCAGATATATAATTTAACAGTGATAGAATTTGAATAGAATATAATTTAAAACCTTAACATTTAAAAATAGATCTATGGTTTACAACTCATTAAAATTGAAAGGAACTTTCCTGGTTGGCCCCTGTGCCCCCCTAGAAAGATTTAAAGATATGAAACATTTTAGTTCTTTTCGAGTGTCACTTACAGACTCGTGTACGTCGTATTCGCATTATAAACACGATTTTTGAAGGATTTACAAGCTTAACAAAAAGGATTCAACAATACTTTTGATGATATGGATGGAAACGTAATCAGGTAATTGGATGATTCCCAAAAACACCACAAAACAACCGCTAAAATGTATAAAACGGCACTCAAGATGCACCATATTTGCGTTTTGATTTGCGGCAGGGTAAAACATATCGCAAGTATTTGTCCACTTGCGTTCAAAAAATCTATAATCTTGCGTCAGAACTGCGTTGCGTCAAAGTGGTAATATGATTTTTAGGAAATATATGCGATGCGATGCGTTGCGTGGCGTAACGCATGCGATTCTGCGTTGCGACCAACTGATAATGAGGCCTCTGGATCTGAACCAGTTCAAGTTATTATTGCGAATTCCATAATAGTCGAGTTTGAGCAAGAGGCGTTCGTAAGCCACCGTGTCAAGCGCTTTGGAAAAGTCTAATACCAACATATCTGTTTGTTTATTGTTGTCGAGGGCCCGGGCTATATTCTCTATTGTATTGACAAGTTGGGTTTCACATGAGTGCTTTGACCTGAATCCATGTTGGAAGTTTACTAGAATTTCAAAGAGGTCAAAATGGGCCATATCATGATGGAATATAATATGTTCCATTATTTTACATGGAACTGACGTCAGAGATACAGGCCTGTAATTCACAGCCTCATCTCTTCGTCCCTCTTTGTACATAGCAGTAACATTGGCATGTTTCCAGTCCATAGGCACTAAGCCTTCATTGATAGACTGTTGAAAAATTATTTGAAGGAATGATGATATGCTGTCACTGCATTCCTTCAGGACCCTGGCCGGAATAAGGTCGGGTCCAGTGGCTTTTGATGGATTTAGGCCAGTTAGCAATTTGTGAATTCCTTTTGTTGACAGGATTTTCGGTCATCAAATCACTATTACGATAATGTATGGTGCGTTGAAGCATTGAAATTTGACCAAAATATACGTTGGTGCTCTAATTTCAACCTCCAATCACAGGGGTTCAAAAGTCTGGACACCTGCTTAGGAGGATGTCTCTAATCTTGGCTCAAAAAAGGGGTTGACCGGTAGAATGACAAATACTTTTTTGAATTTTGACATCCTCCGAACGCAGGGTTCCAGACATCATCCACAAAGTTCCTTCCTTCGTCCAGGAAGAAGGAGGTACGAGTTCTGAAGGCCTGTGTTCGGTGGAAGGAATTTTGATAACTATACTGCTTCGTACAGCTCTTCCTAATTGCTTCAAACGTCAACAGCTAGCCAAGTACAACATGAATATCACACCCATCGAATGGTATACTCGAAATAAGTAACTCATACCTCTTATTCCCATCATTGGGGAAATCGTCAGACGGCTCATCATTCCCGCCCGCCCGCCGTCGGCATGTAAGGGCGTTTGGGTTGGACACCGTGGATTTGGATAGCGGCAAACCCTGTAAAAGAAATTATGGTCCCCTGGGGATTATGGTCCCCTTTCCTTACGGCCCTTAATGGCCCTGACTGTGTATAAATAATAAGGAAAATAAAATAAAAAGCATTTTAGCTGATATAGGCCTTGCAGAGCAAAAATCACTGATTAACAAGAAATAAAACGCATTTTTTATGGTTTCTTGTTTTTGAAATACCAATATAACCCTTAAACTGAATTTCTATTCACTTCCACTCCTTCCATTCACTAATTTCTGTTATGTACGTTCAATCACATTCATTATTTCTAGGGATTGTGTATCTATATATAATAAGTTGCTATGCCAAGTTTGATCATGATTGGTCCAGTGATTGCCATAACAACACAACTTAATTGCGAAAAATTCTAAATATTTTGGATAAATCCACCAGATCTTTAAAAGATAAATGACAAAGGTAAAAAGGGTATAACAGGTCAGTAATTGATTAAGTTCACTGAAGGAACTTTTTTGTTACAAATAAGGTCAAAACTGCTTTCTTTTATTTGTGCTACATGTATGGTGTCATGATTTATGATCTTCTTTGTTAATTACCTGCAAAGTATACTAGTAAGTGATCTTCAAATTATTTCCACAGTGTTATAACTATAATCAAAATTATGTATCTGATTGGCTCTGCTGCCTACCCAAACGGATATGACAAGGTGGGCCTAAAAAATGTTCCTCATTTTGCACTTGTGGCATGTGGCATTGGATATCTCCAAAAGGAGATAGATCCGTTGAACTGGACCCCAGAAATGAATTCCTCGTAAAAAGTGATAAAGATAGTATACTTATCTCAAAACCTGTAAAAGGTGAGTTATAACAATGTGGAAATAATGGGACGTCTGCCATTCTTGTTTTTAATACTGACCAGTGAAAGTCACCACTCTTAAAATTATTACTTGGATTTCCTTATATTGAGAAATTGTTCTACTCATTTTAAGTCAAAAATTAATTAAATAATCTTGAACTACTGAATAATTTTTAAGTAATTTTTAAGTAATTCATTTATGGTGAATTTACTAATGCAAGGAGAGAAATTGAAATACTTACTGTAGTAATTGTAATACTCATTTACATAATTAAGCAATTAAAAAACTCAAAATGACAATATAAGTTAAACCTAAGTAAAATGAAGTAAAACTAAGTATTTAACTTTAAGTAATTTTTATACTTGGGAAATACTTGGGAAATACTCAAGTAATTCATTTTTAAGAGTGACTACTTTTATTCACAACTTTTCTCAGTATAATTCACCATAATGCAGACTATGGGAAATATTTGGTGCGGCAGGAATGAGCGTTTGATGCGGAATATTTCTGCAAAGAGTGTAATTGGTCACATGGTGTTTTTTAGCCGAGTATTGGTATAATCAATGGGAGAGTGAGAGGTGAATGGTATTTTCACACATAGCTATAGGCAATGGGTGTCCGATTCTTGAGGCAATCCGAACACAGTATTACATGTATCATATATCTGCATTCTGCATGCATTTTATCCAAGGTCATTTATTAAATGGTTGTCAAGGTGACAACTGGACCCTACAGATTAAAATTGATGCTTTGCCAACTAGACCTTTGCAAAAAGGTTTCATCGAAATCACGTTCTTTTAGTCATTTCGTATCTTTAAGTGACCCCCCCACAAAAAAAACACTCAATAATGGCGTTCTTTACTATTAGGAATTTTCTTGGCCATTATTAGCCATTATTAGCCGGGGCCATAAGACATGTCAGATAAGAAACGAGGCCCAGGCTAGGTCTAATGTTGTTGGAATAGGCATCATTGAGCCTTTTTGGGCCTTTTTTTATTTCAGGCCAATTGAGCCCAAATTTTGGTCTTGAGACTCAAAAGATTTTTCAGACTTGACGCCCCTAAGTTTTTAGTTTCCAGATCCGTCCCTGCAATGCACTGAGTGATGGGAAATTAGTATATCGTCTTGTGCTGCCCTCTTTCATTATATTAAATCATATCTTTGTTTTAACTTCAATTAATAGAGGGCATGGCTAGGCTTATTTGAAATCGCGCATGCGTGGTCGGTAGAAACCATTTTGCAAAATTTTCGTGGGAGTTGACCTTCCGGCAAATAAACGCTGGATATAATACATATGAGTAATTATATCTTCAAAAGATATGAATCAAACAATAGATTGGTAATTGACAATAGTAAGTGCACATATTTTACGGATTATGTATCAGGAGACGCACTAGAAAACCATTTACAAATTACAAAAATTTAGAGATCGTAAGACGATTACGATAAACTGTGAAATTGAAAAAATTTATGAACAGATCACATTAGTTCAGTTATACGCATCTGTTTGAATTATCTACGACGTATCTTAGTTCTGGTCTCTCAAGGTAAGATTTTGTTTTATGATCTGATAAAAGTTGCTCTATAATAACTAGATTTAGTAAAGTGGTATAACGTTGAGACTTACTTCCTGCGAAAGCTATTTGGATTTTGATAAAGGCCTAATAGCTTTCCCACGGAGCATTTGGACAGCTGAATGATTGTGACCTTTGAAATTGAATTAAGTCGATCCGCAGCTTACTTTTGGTCTCTAACTGTGTCTTACATCAGTATCATCACTCCGTGTAAGTATTAGAGCGCTGAAATGCTTCTTTTTCGATCAAATTGTTCATCGAGTGAATGTTTTTAGACCTATTTCCAATATGGCGGTTTGCTAGAAGCGAGATACGCAACGAACGAAATGAATTTTGAGAATTAGTTAGGTTTGGACAACCTCCGGAGATTTACGAAAATGTCCGAGCAGAAAAAGCCATATTGGAATTTGGCAGTAAAAACATTCACTCGACTAACAATTACAAGTCTTGATCGAAAAGGAAGTACTTCAGCGCTCCAATACTTACACGGATTGATGATACTGATGTAAGGCACAGTTAGAGACCAAAAGTAAGCCGCGGATCGACTTAATTCGATTTCAAAGGTCACTATTAATCAGCTGTTCACTTCCCCGTTTGAGAGCCATAAGTTTCAAAATCTAACATGGCTCTCGAAGTGAGTAAGTTGAGACCATTTCAATTTCAACTTTGAGTTAACTCGACGCTTGGGTAACCTAGCTTTGACACCTTGTTGTTTATTATCTAGTAGGAAGCAATTTTTCCAGAATTAATAGATATCTCACAAATTTCTTTTTCCAAAATCAAACATGAGGAAATTTTAATTTACACGTCCATGTTATAAGTGTCAGAGTTACACATGCCGACTTACACACCTTTGACCTAGATGTCAGTTAGTTTCGTCTCATATCTGCCCTCCCTCAAACTTGACTAATCAAATTGTCAGGCCTAGCCCTTAGAGTCTGACGGTAATTCCGGTTATATGGTTTCGGTACGGAATTGAGCATTTACCGGTATTGAAATTATTAACCGGTTAACCGACGATAATCCCCGGGGAACTAAAAGACATGTCGTTTTTTAATTATTTCGTTTAATTTCCACATTCACGATGCGTAAAACATAGACATTTAGATGTCCATGTTTGGCAGTTCAGGTGTGATTTCCATATTTGACAGTTCAGGTGTGATGTCCATGTTTGGCAGTTCGGGTGTAGTAGCTTCATGCTCAGGCTCAGCTTTGGTTGTAGTTATGTTTGGCAGTTCTGGTGTAGTTGTAGTGTCAACGTCAGATCCATAAATTGAATTATGTCTGTAATAGTAATTTACGAACAACAAGGCATCTTGTACCCCACCCCATGTATACTGCACGTCGCTTGATATTGATACAATTGAGAAATGGTTTGAAATGTGTAATACATTTAATTTAAAACTAAAACTACATCTTGATTCGTAAGATAGTTACATACTATTTCGTGAAGTTCATCAGTACATGTACATGTATGTGTTCAAATCGGTCTTGCACAATGTATGCATATAGACTTGAGAAGCTACGGAGAGAGTTAGGAACAAAGTGGGGGTGGCAGCGCATTGGCATTTTATCTTACATATTTTTACCGGCATTTCGGTAACGGTACGGTTATGAGCGTGACGGTTACCGGTACTGGTTTTCAGTACCGTTGCGAACTCTACTAGCCCTGTGTTGATCTCGAAATGTTGCCAGCTAAGTTTCATTTTAGGGTACAAATGTAAAAAAATAAGCATCCTATTAAAATTATGGCAATTACTCAGATGCGAGTAGGTATTTATAGTGGTGCTACGATAAATCGGCAACTCGAATAATCACTCGTTTGGGGAAAAAAATGTGAAATTCGATTTTTGTTTTCACCTCCGATTTCGGCTCGAATTGTGTACCATTCGAGTTGGGTTACGTCAATTCGAGTCAGGAACACTATTTACTATAAAAGTACTTACATGTTGATCTATAATCAGCTAATAAAACGTAAAATAACATGTAGAAAACAATTTGTTTTGTTCATTTCTTTTACTTCCGGGATCTAACCTTATCTCAGTGAGCTCTGGACGAAATGCTATAGTAGGATAATAATAGGGTCAGAGCCTCGTTTCGAAGTTGACCTTCGGGGTGCTGCAAATTCTATAGCTGGAACCGCTAATTAGCAAAATAATTAAATGCATTTCGAAATTTTACTTCCGGGCGTCTTTTTTATTTGTTATACGCCTTTAGAGTTGATAAAATAAACAAAAAACATATTTGAAGGTATGTAACACATTGCACTTATTTGTTTTTCAATAACATCGATGATTTACATCAAAAAGGTTGGCAGCGGGTTGGGAGATTCCCTTCAAAACTTTGGAAAAAATCGAATTTATTCGATTAATCGTCGTCAGTTTGGTCCCGATAATCGAGTCCGAAAATTCGGGCGAGTCCCACCACTAGGTATTTACCAGTTTCGCCACCAGGTGGCTGATTCGGGGGGAAATAACATGGCAGGGTATTACAAAATTCCCTTTAACCTGAATATTCATCAGTTTTAGTTGTTCACTTTTCATATAACCCTAATGTATGTGCTAGTTATACAAATTAAAATATGTCCAGTAAAGGAAAATATTATCTGCCCAATACAAGAAAATAAACTTCACTTTTTGTGGTTTTACAACATGGGGTCTATGGGGAATCTCCCCGACCTAGAAGTCGCATTTTCATAGAAAATTAAATTTTCAAAGTTGATAAACTCTTCAAAACCACATATCTACATGTAGATTTAATTTTACATGTAGATTCCAAATATGACATCAGTTTGACTGAATTTTTAATGACGTAAATCATGACTATTTCTACTCGCATCTAGGATATTTATGCTCCCTCTGGAACCTAGGAAATCCTTACATTTTATATTTATCGAGATCTTTTTATCAAGATAATATACCTCCCTAAAAGGTGAGGCTAGTCTTGTATCATCATTATTGTATCCAAAAACAAGAAGATAAAAAAGGTTAAATGTAAATTATAAAGTTATAAGCTATTAGAATTATTTTAAATAAGTGATTATTTCTTCTCCTTGATATTAGATAGCTTTGATGTGTAAAGGTAGTTTGAGACCACATTCACATTGATAAGACTACTAGAATGTTTATCAATAACTTCATATGATAACAAAGATCTTTTTTGTGATGCAAGCTGGCTGGCTGGCAATGGCATAAGAAGGGCTTCATTTTCATTCTTTATAAACTGCAACATACAAGCAAAACCTGCAACTACCATGGATATCCCAGATACCAAAGAAGACTTCTGTGGTTTTTAACTCTTTGGTACTTGAGATATAAACAATTAACCTAAAACCTTGTGCATTTTCCTTTAATGAGTCACTTATGTCCTGAACATTCTTTAGACTTATCTACAGTAAGTACTAAACTGTTTGTTTTCTTATAAATTCTTGATATCTAACTTTCAAAGGCATGTCAAATATATGATCATTTATAACTTGGGTGAATACTAGTTAACAACTTAAGCCTTGACTTATACCAAATACTTTTCTACCTTATATATGAAAACAAGTTAATGGATCAAGAATCAAGAACGAGCTCTTGCAAGGTACAATCATAAGTACACTCGCCAACTTCCATGATCAATTAGATGTTAAATACAACCTATTTTGGTTAAAAGGTAGTATAACAGTGGGCCTTCATATGTGTCATTAATTTGGAGATATCTCGTAAATAAAGCTGCCATTTAGCAGGCATCACATCTAAATATGGATTGTTAAAGGTGTTATCAAAGACTTGAATCATACTTTAATTAATTTGATTACATGATTTGCTTGTAGTTTAATCAACACATTTAATGTTTATCTAGAACTAACAATACTGCCTAAAGTAACACAAGGAAATAGTCACTGTTATAATTCTTTTATGGTAGTTCTGCTAGGATATTGTAATGAAAAAATGTTTTCTACCACGGACCACCTTCTTTTATTCTAGATTTGTTTTTAATAACGTAAGGTTATTTTGACATCATGTTTGATCTTCCTGCTGAAACTATATACTGATGTATATTGATTGAAGTAGAAAAGAGGCTAAAACACATTTGTACTTGGTGCAGTTTATTGATCTGTTATAGCAAAAATTACAATACATACATTATAGTATACAATATGTGAATAGCCTGAGCTTAAGGTAGGTCTAAAGATGTTGTATTGGAAAGAGTTTTCCTTTGATTAGTCTTTTATAATTTGAAAGATTGCAATAGAATCCAGAAGCAATTTGTCTAAAAGATAGCGAATGTCCTGCAAAAATGAGTCTACTCTTTACAACCAAGTCTAAGACTGAAATCGATAGAATCGATAACCCGGGGTCTGTTTATCAAAACTACATGTATTGATTTGTAGATCATCATTTTTATTTTGCTACCGGAAGATAACTCAAATACGAGTTGACAGATTTCCTTCATATTTAGTGGAAAGATGTATATTGGTGAATAGTTGTATGTAAAAAAGTATGTAAAAAATTTTTTCAAGATGGCCGCCGCTTTAGAAATGACAGGACTTTTTCGCAAAAAACATAAATTTTTCATTCTAAACCAAAGTAATTAATATTATTGCTTGAAATGTTGGTAGTATATTTGCAACATCTATCTATTTCACATATATTCTGTGTTTTTCATCCTGACCACCAGGGGCCGTGTATGGGGGGGTCAGGAAAACAGACATTTTCGCTAATTTTTAGATCTTTCTGAAGTATAGCTTTATTATACTCAAATGAAATGCAATTAAGAGTAGATTGCAAATATTGTATCTTTTTTCTGATTCGAGCCTCGTAAAATTTAAAATGGCCGTCTAATGTACGATTTCGCAATAATTTTTCGATCCCTTCAAAGTATGGCTATATTATACTCAAATTGAAGGAATTTTGGAGTAGATCACAATTATGGTATTATTCTTCAGATTTGTACCTCAGAAAATTCAAAATGGCTGCTTTGCAGGAATTTGCAATTCTAAAATCTAAATTTTTCAATTTTAACCAAAGTAATGAGTATAATTGATTGGAATTCGGTAATTGATATTTTGTTCATTGGGATTTGCTACTCCGCGGAGTTGCCATTCCGCGGAGTTGCCATATTGTCTAGTTTAGGATGAGTTATATTTCAGAGAAATACGAAATCATTGTGCTCTTTATCATCAAAGATCAAGGGAGGTCTATTGGTGGCAATATTATCAACAAACAATTATACTTACTTGATTTTATCTATTTTACTATTTGTATCAAAGATCCATCAATTTGATTTTGTATTTATGAAGCAGAATACTCTAAATTATCACATATTCAGCTCACTGTATTTCTAGTTTCTTATGGTATGAGCAGTATATTATATTATTGCAAGCATTAGTATGTTTACCTCTGGAAAGCTGATATCTGTTTCATGATTCTGTGGTCATCACCCCATGCTAGTATTGCACTCTGCATCTTCATGTATATCTAAGCTTTACCCTGTTACACATTCGTCAGTGTCAAAGCAAAACTTACATCTATCTCTAGATAATTTTAGTAAATTGTAAATTTGTACAAACACTTAGTTAATCTGGGAGAAGATTCAAGCCCTTGTGTTCACAGGATTCAAACCCTTGTGTTCTCCCTCTATAAACTATAAGATAAATGTGGAGTAAATACCAGGTAGGGGGGGAGACTTGATACAAGACTAGCAAACTAGTTCCATATTAATAAGGAAATGAAACAACTTGTCAAAAAGGAATATACTTATTTTACTAATTAATAGTTTCCCCATCTTTAAACTTAGATAGAATCTACAGAGCAGGCATATAAACCATCTCAATTACAATTGGATAAATTCCAAATATAGAGCATTGTCCTCGAGAATTTTGAAGTCCCAGATTGGTTTGCCTCATGAGACATAATCAGTTAAAAGAGAAAACAGTTAGTTATTTCAATAGTGGTACACAGTACAAAACATGAATAAGATATCAAATCATTCTATTACTAGACTTATCTCAGCATTTATTGATTTGAAACAGAAGATGGGATTCTAAATGGACTAATTTTAGCATGTGGTATTATTTTGTCCTGCATAATTGGATTTACTGCTCTTATATTGATATCTTAAAGACAATTTGTTATAAATATGTCCAAGTATTTTGAGGTTAACATTGAATGTGACTCTGAGGACATGACAAAGAAGAATGACCTGGCATTGGTTAATTGGTACCATTAATAAGGCCATTGGCTTGTCACTATCATATCATTTTTTGAATCCTCAAGATAAATATACACATATTTACTATTTGTTAGTAGTTTCAAGTTGTTTATAATTTTGGTACTGGTCAGACTCATATTAGAAGTAAACCAATTCAGTTGATTTTATAGAGCAACCGCCCTTCCATATCATTGTTATGTTATTATCCCATTGAACAAAATTTGTAGGGATGTAGAGAAGCCGTTATTCTGTCCCTCTGTCTGTCCATCCATTAGTCCGGGTGATAACTTAAATACCAGTTGACAAATTCATCTCAAATTTTAATGGGTTTAGGACATTTACTCAAGAAGTAAATTTTCAATATGGTTACTCAATTCAAAATGGCTGTCATTTTTGTAAAAAATGTAATCTTTGATACCAGTTGATGGATTTGGTTCACATTTTATATGCTAATTGCTCTAGGGGCACAGTAGCTCTGGTTGAGATGAAATTTCCAAAATGGCAGCTGAATTTCAAAATGCCTGTCATTTTCATAAAAAATGTATCTTTGATAACTCAGATACCAGTCGACGGATCTGGTTCACATTTTATGTGCTAATGCCTACAGACATAAAAGCTCTGCTCAAGAAGACATTTTCAAGATGGCAACTGAATTTGAAAATGGCTGCCATTTTTGGTAAAAGACATAATCTTTGGTAACTTGTTTGTCACTAAAAATGTGATCTATGACAACTCAAATACCAGAGGTCAGATTTGCAGAGGTTTCATTAGCAGCATGTAACAGCTGATTTTTACTTGTTGTTTTCACAAAATTGCCTGTTGTTTGTAGGGACCTTTCAACGTTTCCATGTTAAATTCATGATTTCCATTTATTTTGCCTGTTGTTTTCATTTATTTAGCCTGTTGTGAGAAATTTTAGTGAAACCCCTGGTTCAATTTGGTTCAGATTTTATATGCTGATGGGACAAATGTGGTCTACTTGAGAAGACATTTATAAGATGACAGCTGAATTTCAAAATGGCCACCATTTTTTAGAAAATAATCTTTGATATAATCATAATCTTTGACAACTCAGATAACAGTGGTCAGATTTGGTATGCTGATACCTTTTTCAAGATGACCTATATTTATCAAGATGTTATGTTCGGTAGGATTCGCTACTCCGTAGTGTTGCTGTTTCCTAGTTTAAGTTAGGATCTTTTACAATTCAGTATCAAAATAAAGACATGGAAGGACGAGAGACAAACTTGATGATTTTTTGATTAGGGGTTGATTTCAACTGTTTTAAAAAGTTAATTATTAGAGATTTGTCTACTATAAAGACTAAAACACTTCAGAATATTGACTTCTGGTAAATATATACATATATTTTAACTGAAATAGCCTTGGGTATCCACTATCCAATCAGCCTAAACCAGCATCATGACACATCATTTATCAATGGATCAGAGGTAAACAGGCAGTGATCAACTATGCTGTTGCTTTCATCAAATGCTAATTATGTTACAGCTTGCATAATAAAATTACATTATAAAAACATGTAATTCAGTAATAAACAATCATCAACGCTTGTTTGTAAACTTATCATTTATCATGCATAGTACATAAAACATATGTTATTCCCACACACAAAAGATAATGGAAGATAACATAGACATATAGTGGATCATCATGTCCTAGTTTATTGGAGTAAGCTTGTATATTTTATGAAGAGATCATGGCCAAATTTTCTGACACTTAAAAACAAAAAAACTGTAAACCAAAGTTAATTTTGTTTTATGTCAACCCCTCCTTCTCTCATATAATATGACAGAATTTGAAAAAGTTTAAAGTTCACTTTAAAGAAAATAAGTTTCATTAATGAAATCATTGTTTATCCTCCAACCTCCCCAGTATAATATTCTTCCCCAAAGTTTAGACAATTAGATACCATTCTTAATCGTAAATAGGTATTAAACCACTAGCTATTAATGATCAATGAAGTATTTGAAAACCACATTTTAAAGGTATGTTTAGTCATTTCAATATTCGAGCAATTTCCTAAACCTTATTCAGAGTTCGGTTAAAACTCAGACTCATTAGAGGTAGAATATATTATTTTATCATGTAAAATTGATTTACTCTGTATTATATACCTTAGATTGTGGCTGGCTATGGAGATATAATTGGTAATGTAAATCTAGGTTATCGAGTAGTTTGTTCCACATATAAACATAGGTAGTGATAAATGGTATGGTGTCTCATTTCTATGTTACAAAATACACTTGACTTTGATCTGACATCAATAGATTCTATTTTATTTGGAGTACATAATTTTTTTTCAAAATATGTATGTCCTATATCATACGTATATATGTTGTTTTCTAGTTGGTGCTATATAATCTTATGAATCTGTCTGGATAATGTTACCACTAGCAGAGGTTTCATGATGGTATTTAGATATGAGTAGGGTTTGAGCAGTATTATTAGAGACTATTGAAAATCTGTTCCTTTGAAAGGTAGAAATAATATCAACTTATTTTGATCAATAAAGGTAAAATAAAGATTTAGCACCCAGTTGATAAAAAACCTCAGGAGATCACCCCGGATACTCTCTACTTTTTGTTCATGATGTGCTTATATATTTATTTGCAGGGCTGAGTGATGGAGAGGTTGAAGCGGACGTTGAGCTTCAGGAAGAAGAAAACCAAAGTCCCAGAGTGTCAGAAGCCGCACCAATGGCAGGAGGATGAGAAGAAAGTTCGAGATGGCACATGCAGTTTCCAAGTCAGGGTATGGTTTAATACAAATCATATTTACTCATATCTCCTTTCTTGGTAAATGTTCTATTGTTTGCCATCCTATTAATGTGATGTATAAACTGTCATAATCCATTGTATAAACCAATGATGGGGCACTTACTGTTCCACAACTAGTTACTTTCATGGAACTTCAATGCAGCAAAATGGATGAACTTCCTCACACAATTTTTTTGTTTTTTAATTTAAACCTACTTATTAGTCAAGTTGCAGATTACAATTAAGCAGAAAGCAAGAAAATGATTTAGAATTTGGTTTGTAAATAAAGTTGCAATCCACATATTTAGTTCCTTGATTTTGTTACATTGACGAAAATCCATTAAATTACCAATGTCACTTTGATTGCCCTTAGCATTTGTTCAACTTCACTTCTTAAAAGAGAGCTTCGTCTTCACTCTTTCAGTTTACAATAAATCTCCAATCTCACCGAACCAATCAGAGTTCGTCGTTGAAATACGGACAACTTTCTTTATGGTCATTTCCTCTGACATCACCGCATAGTTAATGAGAATGTATTTAGCATGTGTTCCTTCCACTTCGCTGACTGGTTGAGAAAGGGTCAGCGTGGTAGATTTAGAATGATTTATTATCCGGGCTGTCACAGGCACCAATCTTTGGGGCGGGGCTGCTAAACTGTAATATAGTCCATACTAGGCAGAGGGTAGTTTATAACTAGACTCTTGTCGCGGGGTATACTTTGATGTGAACTTCCATCAATATAATAAAAGCGAGGAACTAATTGTATGAATTACGCTTTCATTTAAAAATCCTTTCCAAGTTGGCATTTTCAAAGCTCGACTATATTGTCTAACTTTGTGCCAAATTATAACCTGCAACTTAACTTATAAGTAGGTTTAAATCAAGAAAACAAAAAACTCATATCCAGGAAGTTCATCCATTTTGTCACATTGACGTTCCATAACTCGTTGTGGAACAGTGACACTAGAGCACAAATTGAAATAGGAGATTCTGATTTCAACCTAACTGTCAATGTATATTATGGCTAACTGTCTCCATAACTAGTCCATTACCAAATCACATTCTTGACAATCTTATATCTTCATTTTTTGAAATAAAACAAGAAATTCGATGTGATCCAGAATGTATTATCTTCTGTTCTTGGGGATTACTTGGAGACATATCAAATAGGGTGATTTCTAAGAAATCCTAGTGATGTATAGTTTAATTACTAAATATGGCACAATAAGCTGGAAATATTCAGTTGCCATAGAAACTAATGAATAAAATGTTAGATGCTGTATGTAATAAGCTTACGGTTGTTGATAGTTCAGATATAGAAACATATCAATCTAAAGCGACAAAGTGTGATAACAGGTCATCTAGAATGGCTTCAGATAAAATGAATAACCTCAGCCAGAGCTAGGAACTCTATTAACATGTCGCAAACAATAGCAAAATTTATACCCTTTCCATTCGTTCGACTTCACTTCTTTAAAAAGAGCTTCGTCTTCACTTTTTTAGTTTACAATAAATCTCTGAGCCAATCAGAGTTTGTCGTTGCAATACTGACGACTTTCTTTGTGTTCACTTCCTATGACATCACTGCATAGTTAATGAGCATGTATTTAGCACGCGTTCCTTCCAATTCGCTGATTGGTTGAGAAAGGTTAAGCGTGGTAGATTTGAAATGATTTATTAGCCTGGCTGTCACAGGCACCGATCTCTGGGGCGTGGCTGCTAAACTGTAATATAGTTTATACTAGGCAGAGGGTAGTTTATAACTAAACTCTGCGTGCAGGGTACAAAATTTGAGAAATGACTGTCTATCTGTCTCTAATGCAATACACATTGATATCATTGATTTATGGATCATTGAATTTCCCTGAAAACATTGCAAAAGAATCAAAAAGGAATTCATAATTCTAAAACATTGTTGTTTTCAAGAATTTACTCTTTTTATTATTCCCATTAAATAATGAACTAAATATTAATAAAAAATGTTTGACTTTTCTGTTATTTCAGTACTTGGGTTGCTTAGAGGTGTTTGAGTCCAGAGGGATGCATGTTTGTGAGGAGGCAGTCAAAGTACTCAAAGCTGTAAGTATTCAAACATTGAGTAGTATAAAACGTTGAGTAGTCACTCAAGTTATACAATCATTCACATTTACCAGTCTCTATGTGTTTCTAGCATTCATTGGTTTGTTTTTTAGCTTGTACACATTCTCTTTTAGTTGTCTTTATAAATCATTTCTTTAAAATCTATATCATATCGTATAATGTTGATTGTTTTTGATTGCTTTATTTGTTTTTTGTTTGTGTGTATAAATTCATTGTTTATTTTTATGAATTCTTTCTTCAAGTTTCACATAAACTTGGATTTATACCAGATTTTAATGTGGATATGCCAATTTTTAAGATTTTATCACCTGACACTGGTACAGATGTCAAAATAATATGTCAAGTTATGTTATCTTGTCACTTCAAGGTGCACTGATCTGCGTTTGAAATATGAAACTTGAAGAAAAATCATATTTTTGTGTTTTGTTTTGTTTTGTGGAATTTGAGGCCAGGGTAGATCCAATTCTTTGAATGTTTGGGTGTACCCTGCCTTATTAAGACAGTGACACTTTGCTACCTTACTGCTATGTAGTCTTACTTATGCTCCTAGGATCCCCACCCCTACAAGGAGGTGGGATAAATAGGTATACAAGACTACCAAGTGAAAGGACATATTAAATATAGAGCCAGAGTTGAAACTTAAGCCTCACATATGAAACTTCCTAGAAATACCATAAAATAGTTTTTTTTGGTTGACTTATTGTTCACTGTTTATTCTATCCTTATAACAGAGAGTAAGGTAGCATTATATCATGTTATCGTTTCTTGCTTCATTACAGTTTATTTATAGCCTCCAGCTTGCAGCAGAGCAGTACTTGCTTATAGAAGCAATAGAGTATATCATCCAGCTTTATATAATAACACATGTTTAATTAGTGCCTTAACCTTGCGGGGGGGGGGGGGGGGGGGGGGGGGGGAGATACATAAGAGTTATATCCAAACATGCCCTGACCTATTAGTCTGAGCCCTTGACTGGTAACAAGCCTCCTGACCTGGCATAATATTACAAGCCATTTGATATGACAATTGGCATAATATTTACAAGCCATTTGATATGACATGGCATAATATTGCAAGCTTTCTGACCTGGCATAATATTACAAGCCATTTGATATGACCTGGCATAATATTGCAAGCTTTCTGACCTGGCATAATATTACAAGCCATTTGATATGACCTGGCATAATATTGCAAGCCTTCTGACCTGGCATAATATTACAAGCCATTTGATATGACCTGGCATAATATTACAAGCCTTCTGACCTGGCATAATATTACAAGCCATTTGAAATGACATGTCATAATATTGCAAGCCATTTGATATGACTTGGCATAATATTGCAAACTATTTAAAATGACTTGGCATAATATTGCAAGCCATTTGATATGACCTTGCATAATATTGCAAACTATTTAAAATGACTTGGCATAAAATTGCAAGTTTTTTGATATGACCTTGCATAATTTTGCATTATATTATTGTTTGGTGTCAAGTGCTTCTACTAAGCCAAATTATATATGTTCTTGATTCATTCATTTAGAGAACATTATCTGAATAATGTAAACTTAGGTCCTGTTATTTTTGTTGTTTGTAAAGATTCAGTCAGGCTATCAGGGTTCAATATTTCAAGTCCCTGTCCTGACAGATAAGTTGACTTTATTTTATTTTAGATAAGTAATGTATAGACTGCATGTTTAATTCTTAATTTGTAATAACAAAACACAATGTGATATTTAAGAAGAACTGTACCAGCAAAATATCATTCAGGCTACCTAGTTGTGGCAGTATATAGATATTCTATTAAAATTCTGATCTCTCAATAAAATATATCATTACTTATTCCCCACATGTCTTATATTAAGGCCGATTAGGAATTTCCTGATATGGCATATTTTACATAGACACAACATGAGTTATATTTATGATATTGTTTGGTTGTAATTTCCTGAGAAATTAGAAAACAGCCAATGTATTTTATCTGAGACAAAATTGAAGAGTATCTATAAGCTTCCCACTCTGGTTATTCAATTGTTCATCAAACTGTCTAGAAGCTATACGTTTAGATTCTCAGGTTTTTATTATAGTTCAGTTTTATATTGTAGTTCAGTCTGATTTCTATGATTTTCCAGCATCAAGAATTTTGGGCCATCATTTCAAATTGAAATTCAAAAGAATTGAAAAAACAAGACTATTACAGTTTACCTCAGGAGAGATTAAAAGTAATTTACTAGTCCCTCCGGGTGAATATGAGCTGAAAACAGAATCGTAGACTGTTTATATCAGTCATTAGAATCTAAAGAAGTTTTAATCATTATGAATTAAAAACAACATTATAAGTGGTTTAGGATCAGAATTAAAGATCCAGTTTTTCCAGTTAACTGATGGGTGTAACAAAATAAGTGACAGCCAGGAACAAATCAGATCATGGTTTATCTATAAAGATAAGTTATCAGTATATATAGGAAACCTCCATTAAACAAGACTAATTTAATAGAAATGCTACCTGCACCTGTTGGAATATACCAAGAATTGCACAATCATGTATTTTACATTAGGCTTATTCAAGCCTCTGATTTTATCAGGCAGTAAGACTGTAGACTGCATATCTCAGTGGTGATTACATTATTGATCCATTGTCAATACCAGCTAAGCCTTATATTACAGTGATCTCCTCAGGAATTTTTCTCAAGAGGGTGTAAAATTCTCATTTTCACAATTTACACTGAAATTGGTCAAAATATGCCCTTTTCATGATTTTTCTCATTTACTAGTGGGTGCAAATGGATTTTCAGGTGGGTGCAAGTCTGTTTTTAAAATCTCAGATGGGTGCTGCACCCACTTGCTTTATTGCTGGGGAGATCACTGTATTATATCATCTGCCACCTTGTAAAATACCAAGGCATGAAAAATATGAGGAGCTAAAAGTAAAAGAAAATCAGTGGTTGTAGTACACAGAGAAAATTAGACTCTTTTCCCCAAATTTGGACACTCTTATCATTTTTTAATATTAGGGTTGATGCCATCAATTTGAGGTATAAGTTATTACACCAAGAGCTGTTGATAACAATTTTTCATAATAACATGTATACATGTATAATTGTAGTTTCCCCGAGATGCAAATGAATTTTAATTATTGATTATATCTTTGAAATCGTTCATGCACTTTAGCCCCTTATAATATTGTCTGTTAATATTCAGGGGTGCCTGAAAAATAATTTCCTTCTCAAACCCTTTCTCAGTTTGTTAACGATTAACTATTTTTTACATATGTTTTGCAATTTGAGATTAAAAAATGAAATAATCCAAATCATCTGTTCTTTTTTCCTCAAAATAGAATTATGGTATTGTTGTCTACTTCCAAGTGATTCCTTATGTAGTTCCAAGTCACATGTAAGACGTAATAGGGTGGCCTATACTGTCTGGGTAGTTTATCATTGATGACTTGATTGGGTACTTATCTGATAGGGAACAATATGGGGATAGATGCTGTTTCTCTGGTTACACATTAACTTTGCTAGGTGTTAATAGCCTTTAATAAGTCAGTCTTGGATTATGACAGCTTTCTTTGTATAAGAGGTGTTTATTCACCAGGGAGAAATAACAATTATGTTGTTTTATTTCATGAAATTTGTAATTGTGAATAACCTCATATTTATCTACCAATGTATATAGTAAAGATGCAGTATGCATGTTATATCATCTGAGGATATGTCTGCAACATTGTTATTTTATCCCATTGCATTCTCCCACTGGGAAATTACAAGGCTGATTAGTCTGTAATTGAATAGTAAAAGGAAAGGAAAGCCTGAGAATAGCCTGTCTTGTCAGCTTGTGACATGTAATCCCCTGCATCTGTTATTTTAGACAGATCAAACTAAACCTCTGGCTCAATCACTTCCTTTTCATCTTGTTTTCTAAGTACTTACATCAGCAGTTGTTGTAAGTGATCCTGCTACTGCTAAACCGTTGTTTTCATTTAATGAAGCTATGAATATTAGCACCATCCTTGTCTTTGATGGAACATGTGAAAAGCCTTCGTTAATGGTACCCACACCCTTTAAAAGAAGTCACACGTGTGCTCATTAGGGCATGTGCACTCTATGTTGAGATAGCAGTACATCCTTTCTAGTCCATTCAGTTTCTCTTCAGCAATATGAGAGAGATTTAATAAAGATGGAAATTTATGAAGTTCATTGGTTTTTAGAGCTCAGGCTGCAAACATGATTTACTCTAACTTGGTGATATTTGCTTAAACTATGCAACTATGTCAGAAGAAATCAACATAAATTGAAAGTCGTATTTCAACAACGAACTCTGAGTGAAAGAGTGAGGACATAGCTCTCTTAAGACGCAATGGTACTGAGTTGCAGATGAAGGTAGACAAATCTCTCTTTCACAGAAGCAAAATCAAATGATTTGTAAGAGTACTCCAATATATTTATCAGTGGGATATACATATAGTTACTTGTTCACCTTTGTGGTCATGAAGAACTATATCATTCTTGTGATCTTACTTGTATGTTGTGTGTTGAAGTATCTCCAACACAAATGTTCTGGCTTAGGTTTACATTCATCAGTAACATCATCCTTGATTGTGATTATGGGAGAACCCTCTCATGGGCTTTCCTGAATTCATTTACGGTTGCGATCATCAAGGAAAGATACTCTTTATATAAATGATGCTTCTCTATACCTCACAATATTTTTCAGAGGATGTGTGAAAGACAAATATCTTCAACATTCATTATTTCAGTACAAATTCAATTGCCAAGATTTCATTGTATTATAGAAAGTAGTCTTTGATTATCCTCCCTTAAAGAACACAACAGATATAAACTTTGAAATACTCATGAGAGGGTTCTCTTATCCCAGATGCACTTTTGTCTGCAAATAAATATTTATACCCTTATGTTCATGATTTCTTGGACAACCTTTTACAGCAATGTGGCATATTGGTGGCTGAAATATATTTATTGCATAAAGTAAATAGTAACTGTCAATATTAACTCATAAAACAACAATTTGATGTAGATAAAGGGAAAAATCACTTTATTGAACTGCTGTATGGAACTTGTGTTTTTATACAGTTCTAATAAAAATAATTCTAGGGAGGTCCCGGGGCATGCTTTCATATTATGAAACAATCATCTAGTTGAGTAGAAATAACATATATAGCTACCAGGTATGTTTCTATTGATTAGTTCACTTCCTATCAGCGGAGATACTGGCACTGAAATAGAATATAAATTGGTAGAGCTAACAAAAATACACTTAACAAATGGAAAACACATGGTGCCATATTTTTCTGTTATTCTCTTTTTAATGTTATTGAGTTCCCATTAGAGATATGTCTTGGAGGTCTTTAAGATTGTTCTGCCCTGTGCATCTAACAAGTGTTGTGGAATCATGAATGATAAATGGCCATGATATAAGATCAATAATACATGTGTGAAAATGGTGCAGATCTTTTTGGTCAACCCTCACTAGTTGTAAACGTAATCAAAGGATTCAGCATGGGGGGTTTCTACAAATCAAATCTTAAACATATAAAGGTGAAACATTAAAACCAAAAATTGGGGTCAATGAGACTGAGAAATTGGAATGAAGGAACAGGTGTTCATATTGAATTATGTGTGGATTAGTAAGGTGTCTTCATATACAGTAGCGGTGTAACTCCCCAGTCAGTAACTCTAGTGTAGCTCATCAGTAGGTGTGTTCATATACAGTAGCGGTGTAATTCCCCAGTCAGTAACTCTAGTGTAGCTCATCAGTAGGTGTGTTCATATACAGTAGCGGTGTAATTCCCCAGTCAGTAACTCTAGTGTAGCTCATCAGTAGGTGTGTTCATATACAGTAGCGGTGTAATTCCCCAGTCAGTAACTCTAGTGTAGCTCATCAGTAGGTGTGTTCATATACAGTAGCGGTGTAATTCCCCAGTCAGTAACTCTAGTGTAGCTCATCAGAGCCGCATGAACTCTACCTGGAGCTGTCTTTTAGAAACTCGCAATTTATTCCACCTTGTGAGTTAGCCATAGCTCGTGTTGGGCCTGTCTTGCAAACATGTAAATTGAGTTTAGGTCTTACAGACTATGCATTCTTACTTTATTAGATAAATAAATATACAAATAATCACCGTATTTAGTGCCTACCCTCTAATAAGCACCATCCCCACTTCCGAAAGTATTGAGGAATGACTAGGTTTTAACTAAAAAATCAAATCAAAATCAAATTTCTAAGAATACAAGTGGGTGATAACAGAGTACTTATACTAAAACGCAATAACGATGGCAGATTTTGTAATTTGATGTATCCTTCTGATAAATATCTATCATTGGTTTCTTTCCATACTATTCTAATTTATTATTCTTTCGAAATAGTCTAAGACAAATGGATTAAGTGTTTCATTTCAACCAAGGGTTTCAACATTGGACCAGGAACATTTTCCATATATCTTTTACATACAGCATGAACTTTGGTGTTTCTTTTTAACATTTCTCCTATAATTCACGTCCTTTACATGAAAAGTGATGATCTATCATTTTCATTTTAGGATCTTTACCATATGCTTATCAAAGTTTTTACCAGATTACTGATCATTGAAATATGAGATGACTGCAATGAATACAACACTTTCTTATGGCCCCAACATGTTAAACAGCCTTATGTTGTGACTAGACCAGAGAGTTTACAATATATACTGAATGAAATGAATTTACTTGAGTTTTGGAAATATTTGGAAAGTTGAACTCTAGTTGGATTTTCCTGGCGAGTTACCCCTCTAATATACAGGTATTACTGTATAAGCAGAGCTCTACCTGTGTTAGCCATGAATCAATTATCAGGTAGACTGCTAGGGTGGTAAAGGTAGACAAAATCAATATTCAACTCCTTTACAAATGCATAATAAGAATTGCCCAGAAAATGTCTGTCTCTAACATAAACTGGAAATTATATATCATGTTAAACTACTGTATATATAAGTAAAGTATATTTGTTTTATAATGTTTCTCCTTATACCAATCTTGGCTTATAAAGATGTTTGGGATATGGTGACATAGTATTCTTATATTGAAGACCAAAGAAACTGTTCATAATTCATGTGATATCATCATCCAATATGATCATACAACAAAGTTGTATCCATTGACCTATTATTGATGTTTCCTACACCTGATCTCATATATTGAAGCGTCATAGGAAATACCTAAGTTTTTATGTTTACATTTTATGTAGAGTTCGTTACTGTATAAAGTCAGGAATATTTTATGTGTATAGAATATTAGTTCCTGTTTCTATTCACATACCAAAAATGTGTTGAAATATGATATCTATGTATGTATTTGAGGTTAGATCATTGCAATATAAAGTGCAGGTTATACTATGAATTTTTTAGAAGGTCATTGTGCCTTCTAAGTGAATTTATGAATATGGTATTACAGGTCCTTGTAGAACACCAACTTGTATTTTACTACATTGTGTTTGTATGATTCATTATTGCATAAAAAGGGAATATGTTAAATGTTTAATTATAAAATTAACATGGCAGCCTCAGTTTCAAGGGACACGTTCACATGACATGTAATTTAACATATTGACAATGCAGTAGTCTCTCATTTGCCATATGAATATACTTGTTACTTGCAGTTTAACATATTGACAATGCAGTAGTCTATCATTTGCCATATGAATATACTTGTTACTTGCAGTTTAACATATTGACAATGCAGTAGTCTCTCATTTGCCATATGAATATACTTGTTACTTGCAGTTTGAAAGTGTGTAGTTTGTAGTTTGCATACTAACAAATGAACACATGTGTTTGCTGTTCTATTTGCATTTTATTAGATATTGTTTGTTTTGTAGGGTATGTCATGCAGCTTGTACCCTGTTAGAATGCAGACCTATATGTGTTGAGGCTTTTACATTGAACCACAATTCTTAAATGCTTTTATAATTGAATTATATGGAAATGTGTATGACTTTCATCAATGAAATAGCCTACCATATCTGGCCATCCAGCTCAAGAGGAAATTGTTTTCTTTGGATATTATGATCTCCTCAGCATTAAAGCAATTGGGTGGTGTACCCTGTTGAAGATATGTTATCACCCTGTCAAAATGGTGAAATTGGGATTGGGCACCTTGTTGAGAAAACATTTCAAGGAGATCATTGGATATGTTCCAAAGGTACCATGTACTGAAAGATCACATTAATGAGATAAGTGTGTGATTGTAACATGTCGATAACACAATTTCCTCTAGTGTTGATGGTCCTTCATTATGTGAACAAGAGGCTAGGATAATATATGACTTCTGATATATTGAGTGCATGGGGAAAGTCATGCTTGTGACATAATGTTTGGTGTCAGTATTTCAATGATAAATGATAACATTACAGACCAGTCCATTGTGATTTCAGTTTCACAAATCTAATAGATGAACTCCAAAATGACATATATTATGTCACCGTTTTCTAATTGCACTTTTTTACAGAGTGGGTCATCCTCTTTAGCAACCCTCAATCTGTCATTAGCATGAATAGAATAAGTAAAATGTGATATAAAAAGCCTGAAAAGCCTTGTTCAACATAAAATTACAAATCATCTGACATGTTCTTATCATTCGCTTGATATATTATCCTGTTATGCCTCATTTGCTTCCTCATATTAGATTGATGTGTAGTTGTGTGATACATTGTGTTATTCTTATATTTATTTCATCTTTAGAGTTATAAGGAACGGAAACGGAAATCCTCCAAACTGAAGTTCTGGAAGGCTCCAAATGAGGTAGTGTACATGAAAGTACTGACTGCCTGGGTATCTTTCTTTCTAACTGCATGATGGTTATCTGTCTTAATCACTCTAGTGCACAGCCCCAGGAAAACATGGTTATATGATAATAGCACTGGTGATCCACTCGATTACGCTGGTTACTGTAACAAAATGTCGGAACATCGAAGGTATGATTTTTCTTTTTTCCTTATTTCACACATTGTAGGCAGAATTCCCACAACATTTTCATCACAAACGTGTATCAGTATCATATGTTTTAAGAAAATGTACATGTTTGCGAACAAATAGTCCGGAAAACAACAGAATCGTCAATTTAATCCTCACTTACATTGTATTTCGGTTATAAGAGTTAAGATCTGCCCTTTTAACCCAAACCGTTTATGTAACTTAAGTGAGGAATTAAATCGACGATTCTGTTGTCTTCTGAGCTATTTTTTCGCAGACATCGTCGTGGGGATTCTGCCTACAACGCGTGAAATAAGAAAAATCATACCTTCGACGTTCAGACATTTTGTTACCGAAACGAGCCGTTTCGGTAAGCAGCGTAATCGAGCGGATCACCAGTGAATAGGCAGTCTTGCATCAAGTCTGGTCATCCACATTCTGTAACCAAGAGAATGGAAGGACGATTGAGTTTTGATGCAAGAATGGATAATGGTTCATTAGGCCTGTACTAATCAATGCATGAGGCAGTGCACTAGACAGAATCTAAGGTAGTCCTGGATCTAAACTATGCCACCCCATACCTTATAAGGGAGGGGGTTGTTAAAATAGTGTCTTGGTACAGGACTTAAACTATAAAACTATGGGTGCTGCCTTATTTCAGTACAGCCAAACTTGTATGTTACCACCACAAGTGGTTATTGTTATAGTCTCCAATTTTTGTGGATGGTGTTTGGTATTTAGTGCGTGGCATTCGGCAGCAAGTAACAACTGTCAGGTGGTGATATTTTGCATGTTTATGCCTTGTTGAGGTTGGTCTTGTAGGAAGAGTTTTTTTTTATTATTGCTTCTACTTGGCCTTCCTTAAGTCATCCATGATATAGTTGGTTTCAGGTTTGGCTGCACTGTAATTACTTATTAACTCTTATACTAATTAAACACATGACATTATCTGATAATCTCCTAAAACCAGTTTCCAAACTAATGTTTCCAAACTAATGTTTCATTAATGTTTTTATCCCTTAATGTCTGGGTTTTACCTAGTATGAATTGCTGCTAGAACTTACTTTGTGTAAAATGTTCAACTCTATAATTTAATACCTCCCATATATCAGTTGTTCTCTTGCTGAAAAATGAAATAGTACTGAGATTATAAATAAGCAGAAAGCTCAGATTTTGGTCACCATTTATTGAACACATCTTTAATGAGGTGTGTTTGGTGTAAAAATGATCCCTGTCCTTTGAATTTGAATGTGAATTTGACCATGATTTTTGGGAATTCTGAAAATATGTATTGATCTCAAATAGTTCTGGTAAATGATTAATCAAAATGAATCCTCATATTGAAACATCAAACACAAAATAACAATTTGGCTTTCATTTCTGGATAAATTGCTGCATCTTCTTGTAACTTCTAATCTTATTGATTCTTAATTCAAAGTCTCCAGATATTAATCAGAGATCTCAAGTGAAAACATCAATTAGTGCCAAGTGTTAGAACAAGCAGAATAATTGCTCATGTGCATGTATTTCATATATATTTTCCTTTGTGAAGTGTTGAGTTACAGCCATAGGGAGAACTTTAAATCACTGCATGCTATTACTTATGGCATGCATTTTGAAGATGACATTTTTATTGACAAACCCAATAACAAATATTTTCATAATAACTCTGCATCTCATATTACTTACATCCATCAAAATAATTTATTTTATGATGTTAAGTTTAATTTATTATCAGATAGATATTGTCTCTATTGTTGATGATATAGTTCAGATTTTTTAAATTGGGGGTCATACAACTGAGTTTATTAAGGGCAACATCTATTGAAATGAGTTTTCGGGAATTGTTGGAATTTTGATATTCCATAGGTATTTACTACTTCTAATACTACTCTGTAGACTTGCATTTATTACATGGTAGACTTACTGCTATCTAATTGTCAGATTCAAGTTCTTTATTAATTATATCATGAAAAATAGGCTCAGGCTGCTCAACATTGATTTTTAGCAGTAGGTAATTCATTAATCAATTCCGAGGGAGTTTTTGTTAAACGTTCTGCTAATCAGCTAAGAATCTTATACAGACAGCTGGATTTGATGTCGATTGAGTGACAATATTTTGATTATTTTATGAATCTTTACATTTAAGTCATCACATGTATTTGTGTGTAACTACTGGAATTATCTACTTTAGTCAACTATATATTAACTTATCTTTGCAATAAATAAAAATATTCTTTCAAATGCTTCAACATAAGAAATGTTCAAGATCGATGAAAGAGATCTCTGAGGAAATGAACTGAGATTTTGTCTGTTGAAGAAAATGTTCATTAGATATGATTTATCTTTATTTAAACCATTCCAGAGATTTACATAGACATACTCTGGCATTTAAATTGTGGAAATTAATCAGAATTGTAGCAGTTATATCAAGACTAGCACTGGTCGATAGCCTCTAAAAGCCGCTGTTATAATCATTCACAATTCCACATGCCATAGTATAGTTCCCAGATGATACAACCCAAACCAATATATAGTCCCTGGAACACATAGCCAATAAGAAAACTCATTGGGGCTGTGTTTTAGAATTCACCTGAATGAACTTCATTGTGCCTTATTGGTTACCAGATATCAGGACAAATGTATATCTCATAAAATCTTAACTTTCTTTGCTCTATGCTGATCTGTAGTATAGATCTGTATAATGACCACAAAAACATCATAACCTTATATGCCATCTTCTAACCTACTTTTTAGTATGTACAAATGATATAATTGAGGTGGAGGTCACAAAAGGTGCATTTTTCCAGATATGCATGTATGATATGAATAAAGTTTTCTAGATTTTTGTAATTAGCAATACATAGATGTTATTTTATTTCATATCAAATTTATATCAAAATGTATATGCATGTGTTGCTTTCTGTTTGCATATTTTTATCATTCATGAACATTGCATCAAATATTTTTTTATTTTATTTATCATAGTATACAGTATCATTTCATTTTGTGTTTTATGCATGATTTTTAAACATCAGATAATTTTATTCATATTGAATTCATTGTATTTATTTCAGAAACACTATTTTCTATTAATAATTTAACACTCTTATACCATAAATGCTGTCACCATAAAGAGAACAATTGAGGTGTACAATAGATGACTTGCGTGCCTCCTAAATTAATAATTTTGACCTTCATGTGAAAATTGATTCTTCAAATATTCTCTCTGCTTTTATTGTAACAAAGACCATGATTCTGTGATTTATTGTAGATATATGACCTTTGACCTTTTTCTTGTCATTGTTAAAGCTAAATGTGATTTCAGTCTTTGAATGATTATTAAAAAAAAATTAAAGCAGTTAGATGTTGAACCATAAATCAGTCTCACTTTTTGTCCCTTGAATTAATTACTTTTATTAAATAGATTTATAACATCTAAAATGTAAAAAAAACTGTTTGCTTCACCAGGTTTACTGCAATTTGTGTTTTTTCAATACTCATTGACTTTAATGTGACAAATAATAGAGTAGAATCTGTAGGAACGTCTATAATGCATTCTTTAAGTGCAAGAGCTTACAATTTTTTATGATTAATAATGTCTAATGAAGTTATCTACTCTACTAGTTCTGTCCCTTGGGTAACCTCTGTGTTCCAATATTCTGTTGATTAAATTTATATATATCACTGTATAATATCATCATGAACTCTGACAGAATGTTTTCCTAATGCATTTTATCCAGAATCAGATAGTGACTTTCCATATGTGATAGTACATTTACCAATGGAATTGGAGCCTTATCAACAAGTTACAGTTGAAAACAACTTTCCACCTTGTGCTAAATGACAAAAATCTGTCAGCTGACAACTATTTTTGATGCCTTCTCGATTTGTATTGTACCATGTTAAATCTCACTCTCAAATCCAAACTAAAATGATTTGATAAAGCACATATTGTAATTATATATGACATATTAGAGAGGTTTTGCCCAACATTTTGAGCTCAACATAGCTAAAATCCATAACGCACTCACCAGATTTATGCGTGGCAGTTCAGTTAAAATGAGTTGCGGTTTCAGATACATTTTATTAGCTATAACCCATTGTACGCAACTTATCTATTTGTACTACTGGTACACAAATCAACTTAAGAGTGGTCTCTACAAGCCATGCTCCTCATCCTGCCATATGACTTTAACCCTCTCTCATACACATGCTTGCATATATATTGCTTGCATATATTTACATGTGCAAGTACCAGTATGTAAGATAGTGTATTAACTAAGGCTTTGCTTGTATTCCAGCAATGCAAAGGGAAATATCAGAGAGCTGTGTTGTATGTGTCAGGGGATGCCCTACGTGTAGTAGATGAGATCAGTAAGGTAATTAAGGCTTTTTTTATATATACTTACCTGTATAATTGTAATAAGACCTTGTATATGACCCCACCCACATGTTTGCATTAATTACAGGTATGTTAGATACAGGTAGGGAAAAAAGAATGAACCTGCTTGATTGGGCAGAAACCAGATGCAAGCATAATTCACATTCTCAGTCAGAGCCACATTTAACAAATGGATGATCTTTTAAGATAGGGGCTATGTGTGTGTGGGGGGGGGGGGCTAATGGTGCAGCATGTAGAAGGCAGGTGACTTCCCTCATATAAACAATGAGCACAATATTGATCTCATGTTACATGTGATGAATATTGAAAAAGGGAATGTCAAACTTGCATTAAGTTCAATTGTCTAATGAAACCCATATCCTGTATGTACGGTGAGTAAGTGCTTTATCTAGTTTAAACAGTACATTGTGTAAATCCTTTACTTCTTTGTGATAAGCTGAGTTTATACAAAAAGTGTCATTCATTTCATTCATGGAAACTCCCTCAATAACACTGAAATTCATGCCAATTTTCTCACTAGTTAGGGGCCTTCCAGTATACCCTTTGCATTCGTTCGACTTCACTTCTTAAAAGAGAGCTTCGTCTTCACTCTTTCAGTTTACAATAAATCTCTGATCTCATCGAGCCAATCTAAGTTCGTCTTCGCAATACAGACGACTTTCTATATGGTCATTTCCTCTGACATCCCGGCATAGTTAATGAGCACATATTTACCACATGTTTCTTCCACTTCGCTGATTGGTTGAGAAAGGGTCAGCGTGGTAAATTTGAAATGATTTATTACCCAGGCTGGTGGCTCCTAAACTGTAATATAGTCCATACTAGCAGTGTCCTCCACAGGATTTTTTCTCAAGTGGGTGCAAATTTCTCATTTTCACAATTCAGACCAAAATTGGTCAAAATATGCCCATTTTTCATAATTTTTCTCATTTTTAACTAGGTGCAAATAATTTTCTGGTGGGCGTAAGCCTGTTTTTAAAACCTCAGGTGGGTGCTGCGCCCACTTGCTTTAATGCTGTTGAGATCACTGACTAGGCAGAGGGTAGTTTATAACTAGACTCTACGCGCAGGGTACTTCCAGTAAGACATGATCATCATGTGTATAATTATTCTCTGGAGAGCTCTTGTATCTATCAGAGAATACTACAGGTCAGCTACTTCCTCTATTTGGTTGATGGGTTTGAGGGCAATCTGTCATTGAAGGTTTTGTTAAAGGCTAAATGTTTTAAATGATAGGTGATTTGATATTTGGCCAGTGAGTTTTGCTACTCCCATGAGTTGCTGTGTCTAGATCATACATTGCTTTGTTTGATCAGTTTTTATTTCCCTGTGTAGCACACAGTGATGTTTTATGATGCAATGGGTTCTTAATAGCTACTTTATTGATGATCTCTACATAGCCTTTAAGAGGTTTTCATTAGGCACTGTCTATTTAATCAGCCTTTGAGAGACCCCTTATTAACAGACACATGCAATGATGTATTTACAAACATCTTCCTCACTGGTGACATTAATTAGAATTGTCGCTGTTGTATAGTTTCTTTAACAGAGAGGGAAACATGCATCTGTTGCATTGGTGTTTTTGTCAATTCTGAATTGAGGCCATTCTTAGATTAATTGAGAGAATGTGTTGACGTCAGTGTGAAAGCTTAGTTCATGCAGCTTGGCTTAATAAGGCTTCGCTTCCTCTAGGTTTTAATTGCAATTCCTTCAAGTTTATTTGTGACTTTCATTTTTCCCCTCATAACAAATTACATTTAATTTTGAATAAACATATTTCAAACAAATCATTACAATCCTTTTAAGTATGATATGGAAACATATAGTAGTGGTCTCAGAAATTTGGGGAAAATTCATAAATTTATCTTGGCATAATAACAATTTTGGACATTTTTTTATTAAAAATTGGGATACATGTAATTTGAATCTTGCTGTCTCTGGAATGTAACTGTGGAGAATACTGTATGTTATCTCTTAATTTGCATGAGGGAATCTGAAAGTCATAACATTTTCTATAATGATTCTGGAAAGAATAACTTTTTCTATAAGAACTTTCCCAAGAGGATTATTAGTTGCATATCTTGTAACTTTCCTAGCGCAAATGTGGTCAGTGTAAAAAAGCAATATTCCATATATCTGGTCATGAACTGAGGGTAGTGGAAAGCACACCTATAGTAGAGATGTCACCATTTGGAGATGCAGCCACATATTCTAAGGTAACAATATAAACCATGGAGTTTTCCAAGAACAGTATTTGCTGAATAGTTTTTAGGTATTGAAAATTAGAAATCATTCTTGTTAGAAAAATAGAGAACCCTTATCCAAATCTGTTGCCATCCTGCAAAATTGAAAAAACTTGGAATACCCTATAATCAGTTGATAGAATGTCATGGCAGTTGTAGTAAGATGCAAAATTACACAAATTATACAGTCAATGCTCTCAATTATGCCAAGCGTTTAGTCCCTTCTTTCAATAATTGACAAATAGAAAGAATAACTATGATTATTATGACATTCTAAGCACTTCATATCCATAAATAGATTAAATGTCTAAGATGGAGACATATGAACCTGGAGGCCATATCTCGAAAATATAATGGATTATGATTCTGGATTTCAATGGTTTCACATACTTCGCGAATTATGAGAATCAAAATTCATAATATTTTTAAGTAATGGCATTATGATTGATTAATTTGATAAATATGATGTAATTTTATGTTTTTACATTTTGGCAGAAATCAACTCAGGTCAGATATCTTTTTTTCACATAACAATTTGAGTTTTCAACCTGGTTGCAAATTGCATCATTGAATGAATCCTTATAATATTAGTGTTCCAGACATAATGCATATTCAGATAATACATGTTTTGAGGTCTGCTAGAGCTGACAGATTTAGATTTTGTGAAATATTCACTATATGTTTAAAAGTAGTTTTGGACATATGAACCACTGATGGGAAAATCACTATTTTTGTCACATATTTTCAAAAATGTCATTTTAAGATTTGACATAAAGTCACAAAACCAACCAACGAGTTCTCGTTGTACACCCTTTTTTGGAACAAATTTTATACCGGGCATAAATTGTGGAACAAATTTTATGCCGGGCATAAATTTTGGAACAAATTTTATGCCGGGCATAAATTTTGGAACAAATTTTATGCCGGGCATAAATTTTGGAACAAATTTTATGCCAGGCATAAATTTTGGAAGAAATTTTGTGATGGGCATAAATTTTGGTCAAATCAAATTCATAAAATAGTGGAACTATATATTCTTACTACTGTAGATTGGGTTAATTTGGCGCCCGCTTTAATTTGGCGAATTTGGCGAAATTGAAAAATTCGCCAATATAAATCTTCGCCAAAATTTAGAATGAATCCCCGGGAATTATCTAGGGTATTTCGTCGAGTGTATTTAGGTCACTTCCGGTTTAGTTTTTTCCAAAAATATGAAAAAAATGTCTCTCATAAATTGGCTCAGAACTGGTCAGTCACTTATTAATACTCAGGGAAAAACTAGAAAGGAAAAGTGCAGTATAGTAGCAGCATCAATCGAGGTGCAAAATGTAAAGGATGATCTCACAAAAATGTACAAACGTGGTGAATATTGCCAGTGGTCCTCAAAAGAAAAAATGAACATAAAATTCGCCAACAACGCGTAAGTTAATTAAAAAAAATTTTGCATATTCGCCAAATTAAATAGCCGCCAATATGCCAAAAATGGCAAAATCGCCAAATTAAGTAGCACCAAATTAACCCAATCTACAGTATTTGATCAATTCTCATTTCAAAAACAGGGTGTTTTATGACCTGAGCATCAATTTGTTCTGTCTGGAGTACTCTCTAATGCTCATGAAAGATGGATCCAGTATGGGGAAACATTTCCATGGTGTTTACTTAAATACCAGTCCTGTACAAGGAGGCTACTGATGGAATCATTTATCAGTTACCTTTACAACAGATGGAAAATTATGAACTTGGAAAACTAAAAGCTGTCACCTTGGCCTATAGTTCGACATCACTCTTCAAATCCTGGACAGCTTCAAGTTTTTACTTGATTGACACTACGTAATTGAGTGTTCCTCATGAATTTGTTTTCCCCATGTGATCTACTGGATCCTGACATGTGTTCCATTTATGAATCTGGCTTGTTGCATGATTGCTCCCACCATATACTAACACTCTATTGAATCTTGACATGTCACTGTTGAAGAAACCTGGCTTAGATTTTAGATCAGTAATAGAAGACACCAAAAACTGTGTTTAATGCACACTTTACTTGGTTTTCACACTGTAACACAAACATTGGATTTGATTTACCATTTTGCAACATGAAGGCACTTCAACTCCTGTTTTGTTTAACTACTAAAATATAATTCTTAAACCAATATATGAATTCAATATACACATACATGTATATGGGCTTGTACTAAACAACATGCATCTGCCAGAAGGTTGAGTTATAACTAATGAAACCACAAATGTATTATGAAAGCTTCCAACGGTGACTGTTCCCCACCCATAGAGGTATTTTAAGCATGATAAGTCAGATCAAAACAATGGCTGGGGAATAACTTACTAGAGCTTACAAATGTACTAATGATCATTTAACGGAAAGAAAAGTCTTTTGTACTTTTTATGAAACCACATGGCAACAGGCTTCAAATTCTGAAGATGGAAAATAATGATAAAAGTGATGCATATATTCTCTCTAATTCATTGCAAATATCTCTCATCCCCCTGTCTCCCTGTGTTGGAATCTATTTCTCAAATAATCTGTAGTCTCATCACAAGGAATAGGGCAGAATATGGATTTAAGACTTATTGAAGTGAAGTGCAATTTGTCTTTTTGAATGCAATCAGCTTGTTCTGAGAGTTTGAGTTGATCCTCAATGGGCAGCATGCTCTTGCTAATTGTCTTTAGTGGTTACCATATGCAACATGGCTGAGATAATTACATCAGATGAATGTATCAGACATTCAGTCTTTATGACTAAATATGCATAGGATTTTGCTATATCCTGTCAGAAATCAGCTTGTTTGGAACTGACTTTGAATTTTGGGTATATATTGGTTTGATAGTTCTGTGTTATTATTTAATATTTATTGGTAATGAACTTTGTGTCTTTGAGCATTTTCATCAAATCTTATCTTTATATGGCAGAATAGATTGTATTTATTGTATTATGATCAATTTTATAATATTAACTATAATATAGGGTTGACATTCTTACTTTTTCCCTTGAATAAAGATTTTGTGATCTCTTAAAACATTGTTTATTATTTAATGTAAATTATTATATTTCAGCAAAAAATATAAAAAATATAGTATAGTAATCAAAATCAGAATCACCCCATACCAATACCTGCTAGTTGATATTTCAAAAGATATAGAAATTTGCTTATAGACAAAATACTTCAAATTGCAAAATATTTCATATTCATGATTTATTTTCAATATTATCATATTGTTTCATTATGTTACAGGGTTTAATAGTGGATCAGACGATAGAGAAGGTATCATTCTGTGCTCCAGACAGACATCATGAGAAAGGTTTTGCTTATATATGTAGAGATGGAACAACACGGCGCTGGTTATGTCATGGATTTCTAGCTCTCAAGGAGTCGGTAAGAAACTCTGAAGAGATACATTTACTAATTGAAATCTAAAGAATCTGGACTGCTATAATATTTGGATTAACAGTGAAATGGGTACAGTTCTTTGATAATAGTACTTTTTGCTTTAATTTTGATTTCTTTAAAAAGTACAATATATTGAACCCCTTAGAGGTTGCAACAATTATGTTATTTTATTAATAATCACTGCATTGTTGTGTATTACAGGGAGAACGACTCAGTCATGCTGTCGGTTGTGCATTCACGATATGTCTTGAGCGCAAACAGAAACGTGAGAAAGAAACAGTACAAGTGGAGTTTAACCAGAAAGGCACAACATTCTCCAGGATGGGATCATTCAGGGCGACCACCATAACTGAGCGGATAGCAGACCCACAAAGTGCTATTATTGCAGGTTGAGAAACATGTTATTCAGTGCTAAGAGAGAAATAATGAAGATGTGTTTATTTTAATTTAATAATGATTATTTGTGCCTTCATGGTACTTGATGATTTCTAATTATGAGTAATTAAGAAAAGTGTGTTGATATATCCTTGTGGCTTAGGTTTCTATTTCTACAGGGTTCGTACACACCTGGAAATGTCAGGGAAATTGATTTATTTTTCCAGGTGCTGGAAATGTCAGGGAATTTCAAAATTGGGTCAAAAAGGGCCAAAAATGTCTGGGAATTTTGAAAGAGTAGATGTGTCAGGGAAATGTCAGGGAATTTTGTATCATTGTTGAAAAAATAATGTTCCAGCAGTTTAATATTTTTATACATTTTAAGGCTATGATAGGATATCAGTAAAATCCAAAATCGAACATTTAGTTTTTTCCACAAATTGCAAATCTTTTCATTTGGGTTGATTGACATTAAATCTGGTTTTGTCTATTTGTAAGAACAGTGTGAACATTTTACTGAAACTGAACAATAAAGAATATGTATAGATGGTTCAACACAATTATCCTTTTCCATTTTTCCTTGTAGTAAGTTAGTCTTAACAATTCAAAGTTAATTACTGGTATATGGTTCATGGTTTGTTGAGGGGTTAATCTGAGGAGGGCGGGAGGTGAAAGACAAAAAATCAGGGAACTCTTTACAGTTTAAAATTGTATTTATATTTGATTTATAATAAGGAGCTGTCTGTTCGACAGTCCGGTCGTATTCAGTCTATTTATCTAACTCAAATATCAGTTGACAGATTTGGTTAAAATTTATGTACTAATGCTCTTGCTGCTGCCTCCGCTCAAGAAGACACTTGCCACTTTTCATATAAAGTTCACATGATAGTATTCGATAAATATGTCTCATTAGGTAGGAATTGCCCCTCAAGGGAGTTGCTATTTTTCTTTAGGTCAGTTTTTATTTGAATTCATTACAAAACATTAACAAATTATAGTTCGAAATGCTTAGAATGCACCATATACAATTGTCAATTTTGAAAAATTTCCGTTTCCTTCACTCACAGTTTGCAAAAATGCACCCCCTTGGCACTTGCTGACTATGTCCCTGTTACTAAAGGACAAACCCAAAATGTTTCATAATAAGTCTTGTCTTTTAAATAAAACAGTTATTTGAAATTTTTTATAGGCCGTGCAAGGAAAACTAGATCTGGAAATTTTTTTATGCCTGGAAATGTCAGGGAAATGTCAGGGAAATTCATTTTGAAAAAGGTGTACGAACCCTGTTCTATGAAAATCAAGAGCTGATGAGTTTCTGGGCATCCTGGGTAAAATATATGGCATTCCTATGTATGATATTGATTACTATGTGCCTTGTTTGAGTAGATAAACTCCTTTCCAATTAGATGCACTTTTTCTTCTAGAGCCTGTCCCACAGACCCAAGTTGTTACTCCTTTTGCTGTTCAGCGGCCACATGCCAAGGAAGACATGTTATTACGCCAAGGATCATTTAGAGGCTTCTCAAAACTCCAGGATGCTTCATCTCCATTCAAACGTCAAATGTCGTTAAGGCTTAATGAGCTGCCATCAAATATACAACGGCAACAAAATTTTGTAGGACCAGGTTAGTTGCCCTTTTATTGCTAACATCTTGAGAGAATTATTTCTTTTATTTTATAACCATGTATTAGATGATTTTAGCTTTAATAAAGATGCAATTTAAGCTTATACATGTACATCTTTTATCATTTTGTGAATTATTAACAATGTTTGCTGGTTTTATTCGGCTGTTAAAGTATTGATCACATAGTGTTTGGTTGGGTTCCTGAAATGCCATTTAAATTAATCTTTTCTCTTAAAGCACACAGTGGTCTTGTTATTTATTTATATGTATTTCATCTACCATACTTTGTGTGTATAAATAAAGTTACATTATTTTATAATCTAAAATGTTGATACATCTAAATTCACTGAGAGTTTATCTAATTGAGAAAACTGTTACAGTAACTACAGTAACAGTATATCCTTTCAATAATAAGAAATAGGAATTGGAGTCAACTTCTGTGAACAGAAATGATTTGAGACAAAAATTTAATTTTAGTGAGCCCAATAAAGGAAGAAGAATCACCAAGAGAAAATGGTCATGAAGATGTTGCCTGGGAACCATTACCCAATCAGAATCCAGGCAGAGGTGCTTATTTGCATAATTTGCTTGTTGTAATCTAGCATATGTCACTGTGATTATTATGTATAGCTAATATCTTTATAACAGTTTATCACATGTACCATTGTGAAATGTAGCTGCATGAGATGTGACATTAGGACTAACATAGCTGCATGAATCATAACATTGGAATGTTGTCCTATGTTTTATTTAGAGATATGACATTGGGACTAACATAGCTGCATGAATCATGACATTGGGACATTGGAATGTTGTCATATACTTTATTTAGAGATATGACATTGGAACTAACATAGCTGCATGAATCATGACATTGGGGCATTGGAATGTTGTCATATGCTTTATTTAGAGATATGACATTAGAACTAACATAGCTGCATGAATCATGACATTGGGACATTGGAATGTTGTCATATGCTTTATTTAGAGATATGACATTGGAACTAACATAGCTGCATGAATCATGACATTGGGACATTGGAATAATGTCATATGCTTTATTTAGAGATATGACATTGGAACTAACATAGCTGCATGAATCATGACATTGGAATGTTGTCATATGCTTTATTTAGAGATATGACATTGGGACTAACATAGCTGCATGAATCATGACATTGGGACATTGGAATGTTGTCATATACTTTATTTAGAAATATGACATTGGAACTAACATAGCTGCATGAATCATGACATTGGGACATTGGAATGTTGTCATATACTTTATTTAGAGATATGACATTTGAACTAACATTGCTGCATGAATCATGACATTGGAATGTTGTCATATGCTTTATTTAGAGATATGACATTGGAACTAACATAGCTGCAGGAATCATGACATTGGGACATTGGAATGTTGTCATGTACTTTATTTAGAGATATGACATTGGAACTAACATAGCTGCATGAATCATGACATTGGAATGTTGTCATAGCTTTATTTAGAGATATGACATTGGGACTAACATAGCTGCATGAATCATGACATTGGGACATTGGAATGTTGTCATATACTTTATTTAGTGATATGACATTGGGACTAACATAGCTGCATGAATCATGACATTGGGACATTGGAATGTTGTCCTATGCTTTATTTAGAAATATGACATTGGGACTAACATAGCTGCATGAATCATGACATTGGAATGTTTTCATATGCTTTATTTAGAGATATGACATTGGGACTAACATAGCTACATGAATCATGACATTGGAATGTTGTCATATGCTTTATTTAGAGATATGACATTGGGACTAACATAGCTACATGAATCATGACATTGGGACATTGGAATGTTGTCATATACTTTATTTAGAGATATGACATTGGAACTAACATAGCTGCATGAATCATGACATTGGGGCATTGGAATGTTGTCATATGCTTTATTTAGAGATATGACATTGGAACTAACATAGCTGCATGAATCATGACATTGGGGCATTGGAATGTTGTCATATGCTTTATTTAGAGATATGACATTGGGACTAACATAGCTGCATGAATCATGACATTGGGACATTGGAATGTTGTCATATACTTTATTTAGAGATATGAAATTGGAACTAACATAGCTGCATGAATCATGACATTGGAATGTTGTCATATGCTTTATTTAGAGCAGATAAAATGCATAGATTGTATACAATACATGGAGAGCAATGAAAACATTCATTAGATATCAAGCTCCTAGCACATCTATGCATTTTATCTGCTATGTTAGTTCCAATTTCATATCTCTAAATAAAGTATATGACAACATTCCAATGTCCCAATGTCATGATATGTATGTATGGTTCTTGCCTGATAACATGGGGTTCCCCTAGTTGGCTTTTGTCAATATGTTTAATATAGTCATTGGGTTCCCTAGTTGGCTTTTGTCAATATGTTTAATATAGTCACAGGGGTTTCATTAATAGCAGCAGGTGAATCTAATTTGATAGATTTTACCAAAAATGGCACATTTTTATGTGAACTTTGTAGCTGTTACCAAAATGTCCATGTTGTTATGATAGTTATTAGTAATTTTGCATGTTTGCCCATTTTTGTCTGATATTCTAATGAAACCCCTGTTAGTTTTTGTAGAGCATGGTCCTGAAAATGTATTACTTACAGATAGCTGTAATCTGAATTGTGTCATTTTAATAAACCAACACTTGAATTAATTACAGATATGTTAATTATAAATAACATAGTAGTAGTTACACCAAAACAGTAATATTAATTATTCATTGTCTCCAACTGTTTTATTACCATTAGTTCAACAATTAATATTTCTAATATCTGAATCTCACTCAAGCTTTATTCTACTGCCCTTAGGAAGTCTTCGTGATTCCAATATCTGAAAATGGTCTTAAATTGGCCAGTGAGCAATATGACTGAATTAGGTGATGTCTTCGTCCATAAATCATACAGTTCTTGAATTTCAAAATTTTGCCATGGGGTTTTCTGTTTTTTATATGAATACATGTACTAGATCAAAGCAGGATGATTTAATGATGAGTTAAGTTTGAACTTTATGCATAAAATGTTGCTTCTAAAATTAAATGAACAAATTTCTAATACTGTCTCATTGTTGGTAAAAGGAACAGAAATGTAGTCATTTTTAAGGAGAAATTACCTCGTCTTTTTGAAATAACAAAGAAAATATGTTAAAATTCATACCTTTTGCTCTTGTTCTCAGTATATTAAAAGTGAGTGTTGCACATGCCTGTTGACATGACTACTCTCTGATTCCATTCTATTTTGCATTCAATTTGATTACCATCACATTTCTTACAATATTTTAATTTGTTCTATCTGTACTATTCCAGTGAGCCCTATTCCAGAAGCCTCTCCTACTAAAGAGAATGAGAATCCTGATGCTATTGCTTCAATGTGCCAGGAGCTGACTCAAGGTCTCAGTGCACTAAATTCTGCAGACCCCTTTGCTAAGACCACTGCACCATTGGCTAACAATCAACACCAGCCTTCATCACCTGCCAATCAAGGTATAGATATACATGTACATATGATAGATAAATAAATAAATAAATAAGCAAATACTATGGTGATGGTTTTGAGATAACAGACATTGACATAATTTATTTTTAAAATTTTTGTATCTCTTGTTTCAGTATTTACTGCGACAGTGCACCAAACGCCTACAAGAACAACACAGCAGAGCCCAGCTATGCCCCAAGCTACACCTGTTGGAGCATTTGGAGCCCAGCCTGTCAGACAGACCAACCCATGGTCTACCCCTCCCCCTCCTGTAGCCATGGCCCCCCATACTCCACCCACACAGACAACACCACAGAAACAACATGGTCATCAAAGGAAACTTTCCGACGCAGAGTTCTGGTTAGAGACAGCACAACACACAGCAGCCCAAGCTGCCTCATCTCCTGCTCCCGCCCATGCCCCTGTCAACCACCCAGCAGGTGTCAATGGTTCAGCCCTTACTCCCCAACAACAACAGTATATGGCTGCCCAGCAACAACAGCAACAGAGAGCAGTTGCTCCACCTATTGGACATATCCGTAGTCATTCCATAGATAGTGGAGAATCATACAGAAAACCCACTTTAAAAGAACTCTCAAGTAAAAGCACGTTCCATGCTAACTTTCAGTCTGTTCAGAACGGAACATCATCGTCGGGAATGACGACAGCTGCCTGGCCAGGATCATCGCGATCCGCAACAGATTCCTTTGACCCATTTGATGTAGCGTGGGCAGCTAAGGCTCAAGCCCAGAAAAAGGCAGAACCTGCTGCACCAAATACAACAATGGCTGGTCCAAAGCCAGCATTTACAGTGCAGCTTTAACACATAGATACCTTAACACAGATTTATAATTTTATATGGAATATTTTAGTCGGGTAAGGAATCTAGCACGAAACATTGAAGTGTGGATTGGAGAACATTGTATTTGGATAACATTGGAGCAAACACAAATGAAGGTATCTGAATTCTAACACTGATGCATATTATATCTGATACACATGAGGAAATCACTTCATTCAAGCTATAGATTGGAATATGTAGTATTGGAAATTGTTTTAAAAAATAAAGAATTCATGAAGTGAATTTTGCAGTGAGTGAGGATGTGTAATTGGACATATGATAGAATGTGTAGAAAATATAATCTTTAAAATTAAGAGATCACTGACACAATACTGTAAGTTAAAGGGGCAACAAGGCCTGTAGAGAGAAAATAGGAAAATTTTAACTTTTTCTGAGCTATCAAGGCAACATTTGGCTTAACATCTTCTTTGACATACCTATTTTCTTAAAATCTATGGATAAACTATCAATTTCAGCATTAAGAAGTGTAAATTCAGTTCAAAGCTTCAAAAAGGGGAAATCCACTTTTATATTTTCAAGATCCACCATGTTTCAAGAGGAATATCAGCTGAAATAATGTTTTTCTAGGGGGTTTCTTTGTAGATAATAAAAATAGATGTTAGTCTTGATGAAATGTCCAAACTTAAATATATTTTGACACTGGTCCATGATCGTTGAATGCACTAATTGTTGCACCTTTAATGAACAAAACCAACTTTAAATTATGTTCTGTTTATGTCACCTGAAAGCTGTTCTCTGAGATAAAGCTGCTCTGATAGTCTGAATCAGTCACTTGTAAACTTAGTATTTGTTTCCTTGACATAGGAGACGAATATTTGTCTTCTGTAATGCTTAAAAAGACTGTTGTATCCAAAAGTGACTGAAATGTCCAATTAACGCAAATCATCATATCAATTTTTTTCATAGATAACAGTTAAATAAATACATATTCTAATAACAACACCTGCATGGTCCAATTTAGTGGAATTATCTTGGAATAAAAGGACCTCAGAGTAAAACTGCACCTTACTCCAATACCATATAATATAGATAGGGTGAATATTTGTCTCACTGAAGGAGACACATATTTGTTATTTTCACTGACTGGTTAAAGAGGGCCAAGGTAATACCTCCATACTGTATGTTTCATGTTCATTATATTATTTAACATTCTGTATTAGAAGGACTGTATTTTAGTATGAAAATGAACATCTTCATGCTTTCGTCATTAAATCATGCATATACAGTAGTATGTACGTATGTTTCCCTGATAGATTCATTTTGAATTCATTTTGAGACTTTCATCAAAGAATAGAGAAATCATTTAAAATATACCAATGTCTTGTAACGTTGTTTGTATGTGTTTTAGTGCATAATCATTATTGCAAAAATCTATTTTTCTATCAATAATGAAGTTATAATCATATAGTACAAAATGCAGTGTTTTTCAAGCACATTAAATAATTTGGAAATCTTCAATTTTGCATTGTTTTTAGAATGAAAGTTAGATGCTTTGACACGAGTAGGAAATATTTTTTTGATTTGATATTTGAAGATTTTCAGCACCACTATAGTCTTTAACCAAAACTAATTATGTATATCATCTTTACATGGCTCTTTGTATTATTAATTTCTTGTGATGCATTTTTCATTTTCATCACACATGATCATGATAACATTTCATATTACTATCCCATTGTCTTTTACAATTGTATGAAACTGTACAGAAAGTGTTTTAAATGTATTTATTGTAAATAGTATGGTGTGGGCTAACATGTACATAATAATCTATCATGTCCCTAAACAGGTCTTAGATGTACAGGAATCTAGAGCATTAACATTATATACAAACTCTATCATATATACATATTTTGTTATTTTAGTTTATAGTCTGATCAAATTAAGTAATTAAGGAATGAAGCATATGTTGATTTATCAGCAGAATGGCCAAATGTAATCTGAGATTAGAATTGTAATAATGATAATAATGATACTCTGGTCGGCTGTATTAAAATAAATGAAGAATAGTAACGGGGTTTGAATAAAAAGACCAGTTCCTTATTTAGATCATGGGCTTTCAACTCTAATTGAAAGCCCATGTTTAGATGGAAAACGAGTTTTTGACGTTGTAGTTTTTGAATTATCTGGCTGACATGGGAAGGAGACTTAAAAAGGCTAAGAAATATTGTTTGGCACCAAAATGTTATGCTTTCATTTTTTATGAAGATAATTTTTATTCCATGGTCTTTATGGGGAGAAGTTATACCATAGATGGGCTTTGAGACAGGAATTTTGGGTGCTAAGTATAAGAATTATGTGATTGAAGAGATGTAAATTTTCATTATTTTAAAAGCTGATTCCAGCTTTAGATGCCTGATTGGTGTCAATACTCTAAGAACCTCTCTCATCTCTCAGCTTACCTTATATGGGCATTCTCTTCTTAGGCATTAGCTCCTTCACTTAATTACATGAGTAGTTTTTAATTATAAATCATGTTTTATTAATATGAGGAGTTCTTAAGAATTTGTGTTATGTTTAATTTGATTGACTGAGGTCACTACACTGGAGCCTGTGCATTTATATGTCATTTGTGAAAGTTTCTGGTTATATAGATGTCATCATAGATATGGTTGCATTTCTAGAAACATTTGAGGGATGAATATTTGTTAGAGCATCTTCAGGTCTCTTTGTACTTTGTTAAAACCTCAGTTGTTTATAGATTTTACAACCTTTTGACTGATAAAGTAAGTGACTATTAATTTTAATGTTTGTTCTGTAGATAAAGCTATTGATTTTAGTTTTTGCTAATGTTCAGCAATGTTTACAATATTTAACTTTATCCAGCCAAGACAATTGTTCAGTTTCTATATTGTGATTTGTAGATTTGTCTTGACTATCACATGCTCAATCACAATAGTACTCTACTGGAACATTGTATCATTTGCTTAAAAAATGAAGCATCAGTTTTATTTTTGTAAAAAGTGTTCTAATGATCTTAAATATTAGTACTGTCATGTAAGAAATGGTGACCAACTATGTATGTTTCAAATGGAAGCTCTATTGTATTCTACAACATTATTGAATGTGTAGGTCCACATCCATTCTGATTTTTATCCTGGGATCCAATAATGTCATTCATGCCTTGGATTGATGCTGAATTTGTTCTAATTTTACATGTAGGATTCAGGTAACTGAGATTGATGTTTGGATCAAGATCCCTGCTAGGAACAACATCAGATTCTAGGATGAAACCTATTTTAAGATAGCCAGCATGTGATTTTGTTGAAAATAAGGTTATTTAATCCAGACTATTCTCCAGATAGGGATCTACAATGGGCAGGCATTTGCATGTTTTAATGTATACACTTTTGGAGGTCATGTAAATTATTTTACTGATCAATTTTGTAATATACAAGCCTTGAGAAATAGCAATAAAACTAAAGGCGTATGTAAACATCTCTAATTTACTTTGTTTCTTTCTTAATATATGAGGGTATTAAAGGTATGCAAATTCCATAGTTTTAGTGTTCTTCATGGATGTTTGAAAGATGTTTTTTTATTTTACAAACCCTGACTACATTTACTTTGTGATGTAGCGCCGCAATATTTAGGCCATATTTCCAGCCATAAAGACTTCATCCTTTTAAAACCCTGCATTGGTACTATCATTGGTCTGACATTCCACGTTGCTGAAATTATTGGTCAGACAGATTCGCACAATCATTGGTCTGACATTCCACGTTGCTGAAATTATTGGTCAGACAGATTCGCACAATCATTGGTCTGACATTCCACGTTGCTGAAATTATTGGTCAGACAGATTCGCACAATCATTGGTCTGACATTCCACGTTGCTGAAATTATTGGTCAGACAGATTCGCACAATCATTGGTCTGACATTCCACGTTGCTGAAATTATTGGTCAGACAGATTCGCACAATCATTGGTCTGACATTCCACGTTGCTGAAATTATTGGTCAGACAGATTCGCACAATCATTGGTCTGACATTCCAAGTTGCTGAAATTATTGGTCAGACAGATTCGCACAATCATTGGTCTGACATTCCACGTTGCTGAAATTATTGGTCAGACAGATTCGCACAATCATTGATCTGACTTTATATTTTGGCTCAATCAATGATCTGACTTAACAGATTGACAAAAACAATGATTTGACATAAATGTAGAAGAGTAGCGTTATCTTGAAACAGTAAAAACACACATATTAGCAATTGGGTCTCCTAGACAACCAATGTAATAGCTGATTATGACGAATCATCATCAAAAGTAATGAATCTTAATACCAAACAAAACAACTTACAAAATTAGCACCTGTACTTGATTTTCAAATGCATCCATTCAAGAGCTATGCTCACGATTGCACATTGGAACAATCAAAGATCCAACATTAGGCTATGAAAGATTATAAGCTATGAAATAAATTGATTGAAACGATTGGGACAATCATTGAACTGATACACTGTTACAATCATTGACTGGCACTACATTTAGGTTTAATCATTGATCAAAGATTACACATTGGCAGACTAAATGATTATTGAATAATGACTTATAGTCTGACCATACCATTGTATATGTGAGGAGGCTATTGACAAATGTCATATAATCAATATGTGGCGTGTCATGCATTTGCAATTAGAGTTCTTCAAAATAGAAGATTTGTTGTGGAAACAAGTTTAAAAACTTTCCAGGTTTTAGCTTATTTTCGGACTTTTTGTGGTTAGTATATATTTGAAATCGAATTTATATAATTATGTAATTGGCGAAAAATTTATTTAACCATTTCAATTATGACACAATTATCATAAATGGAAGAAACAGTCCGTATAGAGTAGATCATCGAGTGAGATCATCAGTAAAAAATACTTTACTGTGACCATGGGCTCTGACCATGCTGTGACACTGCTTCAAAGGCGACCAGAGCAGTTGAACCTGAAAAATAAGAAATCTAAAGACTATTGTGCAATTATAGAAAAATATATTCATATTGCAGTTGCACACGAATGACATTTGTACAGTGAAGTTTTAATGTTTGGAACTTACTTTGAATTTAAAAAATAAGCAAACAAATGAGTAATAAAAACATATGTACAGTCGGAGACATTAATAAATCTCAACCATCAAAAGTTTGTCATTTTGAAAGCTGGCACGTGTCTGATGCATTCTTGCGCCAATCCTCCTTGCAGCGTAATCAGACTCCAAAATCACCTCAACATTTGAATAGTCGGCATTAACATGTGAATATTCACTTCAAATTTTTGAGTTCCTATTTGTCATTATGGACACAAATTCCACTATATTTGTACTTTTTGTACTTTTCTATTTTTCCGGGACGGAGAAAATAGAGCACTCAATTTACTGAGGTAAGAATTTATGACATATGTGATACCCATCCAAAAGTCGCCCCCTATCTTGGCAAATTCTTCTGACACCCCTGATATTATGGCACAATAGTCTTTGGATTGCTTATTTTTCAGGTTCAACTGGTTGCCTTTGAGGCAGTGTAACAGACTGTACAAAGTACATGATTTTTATCTCTTTTTCAGCTCACTGAGCTACCATGGATTATAACACTAAGCTATTAGCAGATATGAATGTAGACATGGATTACTTAAGCTAGTCTGTTGTTCAATACATTGAACTGATTCTCTAAACACGTACAATACATATCCATCATGTTGCTGGGATCTGTGCAAATGTGTGGAGAGACTTTGTCATCTATTGAAGTTAGAGACATTTGTGAGTCTTTGGAGACACACTCCATCCGACTTTTGTCATTGAGGGAATGTTTTATGAACGATAGAGACTTCCAATGCTTGACGATAAGTGTCGGCAAATGCAAATCCATAATGCAGTTGAATCTGAACCTTGGCTTGGTGTCTGCTGTGACTAGGGTAGAAATGTTGGCACAGGCATTGATGAAAAATAGGACATTGACCTCTCTGTTGTAAGTTACTCTTATATATAGTCTATATATATATTATATATGTATTATTTACTGTAAATTGCTTTAATTTGATGGCCGTTTTAATTTGGCTGATTGATGAAAACCGCCAAATTAAGTCTCCGCCAATTTAAAAAAAAAAATCATCATACTCTCTTTTTAACCCGAGATCTTTGTTTAACATGAATATTTGTTCCCTTATAGTATTCATGGGTCTCCTGTAAGTGACTATGGGATGGTTATGCTTTCCCAGGCCCTGGCTGCTCATCCTAATATTGTCAACCTGGATGTAGGGGACTGCATCCTGGGGGACAGGGGCCTTGAGGCAGTTGCACAATTATTACCCCCTGATGGGGCAAAACCAGGTACAATAATACAAAGTGCAGTTTGTTTAAACATCTATTTTGCATAGTTTGTAATGGCGTGTTTCATTCATAGAATTAAAATCAAAACTAACTGTGTCTGTATTACAATTAATTTTAACTTCAGGTTTACAAGAGTTAACATTAAGTGCAAATCCAGCTATCACCTCTATGGGTTGGGTTAAGTTTGGTATCGCCTTGGCAGCTAGTAGCAACTTGAAAGTGCTCAACTTAGACTACAACCGTGTTGGGGACAGTGGCATAGCATGTCTTACTGTTGCTTTGGCCAGCTTAAGAGGCTTAGAAGTCTTAGATTTAGAAGGGACTGGCATGACTGACCAAGGAGCAAAGGTTAGTAAGTTTATACAGATACATACAAAAATCATTTCGATTGATGTTACATTTGATAATTTAGGTGAGTCTGTTGTGAATGATGGACCCACAAAATGATAAAGAAGTGATAAAGAAGCCAGATGCTAGTCACAATGATCAGCTACATGTACAACATTTACGTCAGTGCATGTGTGTACATGATCATGAATTTGAAAAATTGCTCTGCCATTGCACTGCTTGCAGTTTATGCATTGCACTATAGCCAGAAAATGCTTATTAGCAGTAGTTATTTGCCATTAATTTGTTCTATATTGTTAATCCTTAATTCATCAAACTATAAGATCTGTCAGGACTCAGTATAAATACATACAAATTCCATAACATTGTTTTTAATGGTACAATTGTGTTAAACATGCACATTGTTAATTACTCACAATTAATTATTAATGACAAAGGATTGTTGTATCATGGGTGTAATTTAACCTGCTATTGTTTTTCATAGAGGCACAATTTTATCATTCATCAATTATTCACATGGAAAGCAATATGCCCATGTGAACCTATTACACAGAAATTGTTTTAGAATTTGTAATAGCCATCACCTTCCTTATCATAAAAATATTGATCGTATATGCAATTTTTGATTTATCCCTTTTTAATATTTAATTTAATTGGACATTTGTTTGGAGTGGTCAAATATTATACAGTGTACTCCGGGTATTGTTCGCGTGCAATTTAATTTCGCTTTGTTCGCGAATGTAATAAATTCGCGAACATTGAAGCATTTTCTAAGTTCATGCATATGTAAAAAGGCATGTAAGTATATTAATATTATCAATATGGAGTTTACAGAGCTGGAGGAAAAAATTCAACTTGTGCAATCCGCGAAATGTCATCAACTGAAATCTGCGAAATTTTTGAAAAATCGCGAAATTTTATAGCGTCAAAATTTACCAAGAGTACAGTATGTATTTCAATATAATTTAATATAATCTTAAAATGAATTGTGTTTAGTATTTTCAGTTGTAGTTTCATTTTCAATTTCAGATGTTGTTACATCTACTCGAGAACTATCCAACTGATATCAATCGCATCATACTTGATGAAAATGACATTGATCCTAAACTACTGGGAGAAATAAAGCACAGTTTGTCATTGGAAGAGACTGACGAGAATTCTTCTGAGAAGGAGATTTTAGCCTCTGATAGTGAAATAAGCAAAATGTCAAATGAAATTGCACAAACTTCCTTAACAAATGTAACTGAAATATCATCAGAAGCTACATCAAGTATGACCTTGAAACCTCATGACCTTGACACTATGGGTAATGACCTTGCAAAAAGTACAAGTTTGACTCCAAGAGAACTTGCCAGATTCATAAGATCTCCTGAAGCAGGAGCTTCAAAGTAACATAGTTGATTAGAAATATAGAACTAGAGAGTGTAACACAGTCTTTGTGCCCGTGTATATTATAATAATGATGGTCCGGATGGACTGTGATTGGTCAGATCACATCACATGATCAGGACTATTTGATAATTCAATCAATCACATTGAAAGGCCCAGATGTCCTATGTAATATCGTTGAAATTCCCAGATGTTCTATGTGATAATATGAAAGTGCCTGGATGAGCTATGGGATATTCCATCTCAATATCACATAAGGCCATGAAGACAATGTTGTATGTTATGACGTTATAACATGTGAATGACATTGATATACTCTTATTATCACTGTGATTATGACATATATAATTTGGGTTTCTATTGGTTCTATGCATATCATTAATCTATTTTCTGATTGAGATTAAAGATTCCTTGAATTAATGTAGAATGTATTGGCCATTTTTTGCTGCAATATTTAAAGCTTGCCATGTATTATAGTTAAAATAATAATTCATGTTAATAAATAAATCGTACATGTATGTATTACAATTATTGACCTATCCAGAGGTTGAGAGAGGACAATTGTACGAGTATATGTTTTGCAACTATATATTAAGGCACCATTTCTCTCACATTTAGGGAAATCGCGATGTACCACAGGATCATTAGTCTAAACTGCTGCCTTCTCACTGACCAATCAAAAGTGAGATTTAGATACCACTATTTAAATCTGTCCTACTGGACAGCTCTATTTGCTTGATTATATGGCTCTATAATCGAATTCACCTCTATACTGAACAACATTCCCAACACATAACTTTCATGAAGCTATATTGTAAACCCTGTACTATGTTTCAAATAGGAGGCAAACAGAGAATGAAGCAAATTACATCAAAATAATTACTGTATTATTTTTCATGAAAATGAAACAATTAAAACAAAACATGTACTTAATTTATGTTATACTTTATTTTTAAAGAAATCATGTTACTCAAATATTTATTATTAATTTCAAAATTTAAAGGAGGAATTGTACATGTGTTTCCAGGAATTAATTACCTGCAAAATAATAAAAGAAACAATGGTGCCCAGTTTTTTTAATCCAAAAGTTGAGCGGATTACTAGCAAGAAAAAAACAACTTCCTATACAGTAGTAGTATGATAGAAAACAGACTCCCTCCTTGATGTAGAGATTAATGTAGCAGAAAAAGAGGTCAAAATCAAAACCAGTGAAAGCTACCAATAAATACAATTTTAGAGTTCCTGTTTTGTCCACATTTCTTAGTTTCTCACAGAGCTGACACTCTTCTTTTGGGTTCTAAATTATGACCACCATTGATTTTGTCTTCAATGTTATTTAACCTCTTGACAACCAGGTTCTGAAATGGATTAGACCAGAGCATCTCCCTTTTGCCAATGTTAAACATTAAATCAGAAATGTAAACAAAATGGGATGCTCAATTTGTCATTTTATAAGCATCAATCATTTCTACATGCCAGTATTCTAAAACATAATTTGCATAAATTGGATTACAAATGTCAATCATGGCAAATATTAGAGTAATTTCATTGTAAATCTTGTCACCATTGGTAGTCGCAAGATTAGCAGAGTACAATTTTATATGTAACTTTATCATTGCTTTCCAGCAACTATTACATTTCATTTGTATATAAAAGGAATAACACAATCAAAATTGTTTCAACTCTTATTGTTAAAGAAAATATATATGTACAGTACAGATAAATTAATGAAATAAAATGTACAAACTCAATCTCTGAATTGTTGATTTCATAACCTTTTGAAGTCCAAAAAATTTAAAAATAATATAATTTCAGTATTTTTTGCAATACTAGTATTCATCTTGATATATATTCCTAATTAAGTGGTTATTATATACCCAAACCAAAAAGTGATTTTCAGATGTCCGATTCAATATTGTATTCAATGAAATCCATATGGAGAACAGGAGGCAATGTTGTTCCTGTCAATGATTTTTGACAAGTTAAAAGCACTTTTTGGTATGATCTCATGACATTACATGAGTAAGAATAGAGGGAGAGAGATCTTATAAGTAAGAGTAGTAACTGGTGAATAGTATGTTTAAGACTAGCCAAGTAGAGAATAATATATGAAATAAATATGACACCGGTGGCTGTAAACATTTTGATTAATCAACAACTTCTTAGTGTCCATTTTATATACAATACATAGAGACGAAATGATTTAATAAATATAGAAAAAATACTTCCTTTGAGAAGGTTGTAGCGATTCTACAGCATTTTCTGTACTATACATAATGATTTACTGTACTTTAACTTTATGATGCAGTTTCTTTGAATGATGGGGTGGGATCACAAGATTGTCCACTAAGTAGTTGTGCTAGTTGCAGGAAAAGCTGGGGACTCACGATTAAAAAATGGACCAAAAGTTGACTAAAAAGGGCGTTTTTATGTCTTTAATTTTACAAAAATTAACAAGGCATTAGCATGACAAAATGTCACCACCTAGTTGCTCACAATATTTATTATAAGTTCAAAATTAAGTCAGATTTGAATTACTGAGAACTCTGTAGATGATTTTGAAAAAATATTCAATTTGAAACAAGTTTTTTGACACTAAGAAGGTCATTGAAGGTGAAATCTCAAATCTGAAGTCAGATTTGAACTTCTGAGAACTTGAAGATGATTTTGAAAAAAAAAATTGGTCAATTTGAAGCAAGTTGAAAAAAGACCTTTTTTAACCTTTTTTATTTACCTTGAAAAGGTCATTGAAGGTCAAATCTTAATTCTAGAGTCAGATTTGAACTTCTAAAACTTGGAAATAATTTTGAAAAACAAATTGATCAATTTGAAGCAAGTTGAAAAAATACCTTTTTTAACCTTTTTTGACCTTGAAAGGTCATCGAAGGTCAAATCTTAATTCTCAGAGTCAGATTTGAACATCTACAAAAAACTTGTAGATGATTTTGGAAAAAAATTGAAGTCCATCTAAACAGTATTTGTCAAGTAAGAAATTGTTACAGAAGCTTCAAAACAGTGCATCTATGCTTAAACACAAAGATCTTGATTAGATATTCTTTAAATAAACAGCTCTTTCTCCTCAATTAGCATTACACTTACATTATATTATTATTCAAAAAATATAAAAAGAGGAGTCCGGTGGACATATCTTCTGATCTTACCCAGTCTGAACTGTAATGAACTAAGGATTATATATTCACACTGTATGAGTATCAGAAAATGTTTCCTAATGTTTCTATCATCTCTTGTTAAATGTATTTGGTAACATTGGCTAAGTTAAACATTCCTAAGTCTCATTTTTTCGTTGAATAGTCATATTTGAGTTTTCTCGGTCTCATAAATTCTTTGATTTCATCATCGGTGATCATTTTACGTCTCTCTTGATGTTTCTTAACAATTGGTTGGAGAACTTCTATTAATGTCTTCTTTATTTCTCCAGTCATCATTTTTCCACTGGAGTAATCCTGAAATGCAGAGTATATTCAGTCAACACAGTAATAAGTCCATTAACATATTAAAGTACATGTATGGCCATTAACAGAGAGTATTGACGACATTAATAACGCAACAGTATGGCCATTAACTCAGAGTATGTACATTGCTTAAAACCACATTTCTCCATCCCAAACCCCATGTTACTTAGAAAGTCCCAAACCCCATGTTACTTAGAAAATCCCAAATCCCATGTTACTTGGAAAAGCAATGTTTAATGTGAATTCATTTGGTTTGGCGTGTTTTGATTTGATCAAATGCATGGAAAAATCACAACCTGGTTGACATTTTGAACAAATATGGCTGTACAGTACATACCTCTTTTATCTGTGCCAGTCGTTCATCATCCTCAAGGAAGAAAGTGAGATATTGGTAAGGTATGTCTACATCACAGTTTCCACCATTTTTCTGGTGTTCCTCTAATGTAGCACCACCCCCAGAGAAAGCATATTTGTTAATCTGAAAATATGAATTAAATATTTGAACTTGCTGACATATATGCTAACTAATGTAGGGCCACCTTAAAAATGCAACCCTCTAATTATGGTAGAATTCATGTTTAGATTGAATGTTCGATAGAGAAAACAGTGGTTTACTATTCTATGTTGCATTCATGACTTTGTGATCATGATTGACAATCATGTTTTCCATGACAAGACATTTCCTCTTGCAAGAAATTGTTCAAAAATTCAATTTCATAGATCTATATTTGTCAGTTTTTATCAAAATTAGCATATTTGCGATAGAACTCTGCCCAACAACTTGAAGTTCCTTTCTCACCTTGTTTTTGATTTGATTGGGTGTGTCTGTCAGGAATATAGAAGACAATGGGTCACTGGCGCTCATCTTGGTTTGTGCACCCTGTAATGCTGGGAAGAAGGTTGAGTGGATCAAAGCAGGTTTCGGATACTTCAATCTGGGAGCGACATCTCTTGTCATTCTAAAGTATGGGTCCTACAAGCCAGAGAACAGTAAATGACCAGAATTCTTTAAGTGAAAAATTAGCTTAGGGTTAAATGTTTTCATTTTGACACTCCTGGAAATCTTATGGACTGAATAATGGGAATGCTGGGTTTCCATATTGTAGTTCATTTTTATATTTCCATACATCTCAAGGTCAAGTCTGTTGTTCAACAAGACTTATGGTTTTGAGTTTTTTGAAATCATATAATTTCTAGTTATTGCAGATCATAAAAAGTAGATTCTTTGTCTAACGTCCCTATACATACGCGATTTTCAGTAAATCAGAAAAAAACAAACGGAACATGTATTATAAAAATGAAGCCAAATAACAATCCCTAAGGATCTGAGAGACCATTATAATGCATATCATTCATAATATATACATTACACTACTGAGACGCCAATCACTGTAAACCAGAATATTCCACACATGCTAATATTATAAAGGCGATATTAGACTGAATCTCCAAATTAATTTTGCATGATTGGGAGTTTGGAAATTGAACATCATTGATTATGAATTGCATTATGTTTTTAGTGAGAATCACAAATTGAAGAGGTGAACTTGGGAGAGGAGAGAGAAACTGTCACCAATGTGAAAATGTAACTGACAAAACTATGGTCCCTAGCTTGATGATTAGGCTTGGAACTTTAGAACATGCACAATGTTCATTTACTTAATGTATTATCTTTGAAATATACTGCATATGCCACAATATAGCTTATGTTTAAATATATAGTTCATCATTTACAGATGTGTCTGTTAAGTCACTACAAATTGGTATACCATATATTTTTATAGCCATAAATCCTGTACATTTCATGGCATAGAAGTGTTTTTCCTTGAACCTGATTTGTATTTTGCCAGGACATAAAACAAAGTACCTATTTCTTATGGCCCCATCATAAAATACTTGGGCAATATTGAAAACACAAAAGGCACATTCCTCAAAACAAAATCTATCATCAAACGTCCACTCTCTTATCTCTTATCTGACATAAACCAATTGAAATCTTCAAATCAATATGAGGAAAATTACCTGATCTATTGCACATGGGATGAGACATGGAATATCCTTCTTGCCCTCAAAGATCTGAGGAAATGAGCTGCTGAAGGAAGGTGAAGCCTGGATTGATGGGAAGGCAATCTTTCCAATATTTGAACTATCCCCAAACCCAAAGATTCCTCGCACTTGGTTGAATGTAACACATTTCTGTACCCTCAACATGTTCTGATAGAACGCTGGAGATTGCCTGAAAGATAAGATTACATAAAACAATGACTATTCATTTATCTAAATCTGTTGGTCATTTCATTAATTCACCATCTGTAAAGCATCCACTTAAGCACTGTTAAAGTGAATGTGTCAAATAAAATTAATCAGATTGTCATGACCAAAACATTGAAGAAATCACTGATTTGAAGGCAGTCCAAGTAAATAATGTATTCTGAGGTACACTACCACAATATCTTTGCTACTAAAAAGCCTAACTCCATTGCTGTTACCATGGAAATCATTATGTCATAATAGGCCAAGCTGGTAGGCACCCTAGGTTTATTGACTTTTTATACATGTAAGTTTCTATCCTAACATGACATCATGGACAAATACTGTTGGACTTAGAAGTTGATATCCTGCAAACAGTCCCAAAGTCAACCTATACTGACATACATACATAAGAACCTACCCTATATATTCAGTATCTTTAAATATGAATGTTTTTTCTTTGTCGAAGCCACAAGCTATGATATCTTTAACATTATCGATTGCCATCTTTTGAGCAACATCCAACTTCAGATCTTTCCACAAGAACTTCTCATCATCGGTCATCTGTATCACTAATGGTACATCAAATGTCTCCTGGAGCCATCTATTTGAAAGAAATGTGTGAAAAAGAGATCAAAAGTTATTTTTGATGTAAAATTTTCAGTTTTGGCCATTCTTACTTTTTAATAGCTCAAAATATATGTAGTACAGTATGCCTCACCATGTACATAAACTATATATTATATAATACATGTAGAACTTTCTTAAAGAAAAATGTAAGTTGTGAAAACTTGTCACAAAAGTTGGACAGAGGGAATCTTTTATGGTCATCATTTAAAACATATTTTTTCATCCAGGATTTGAGCACTCATTGAAGTTATAATTAGACAGTCTTTACATTTCATGATGTGAATTATCATGTTTTTTTATGAAATATGTTTGTGGCTCCCATAATGGTAATATATGGTTAATCATAATTGTTAAATATCACATTTAATTGTCATTTTATTTTGTGCATGATATATCTTTATGCTTAACAACAAGGAAAAGGTGTATTCTCTCTCTCTAGAATGTAAATGATCTGCCTGATATTTCTATAATTATACAGCTAAACCTGTCTTAGTGAACACCTCTTTCTAGAAAACACATGTGTTTAGTGAACACCACTTCACGACACATTTTACATTAGCTGCTGTATAAAATCCCCTCTCTGTAAGTGAACAACTTCTTTGTGGCTCAATTGTTGTTCACTATATACAGGTTTTACTGTAATTAAAAGTTTAATATATTAAATTATTTGGATGCTGATTTCCTTTTTTTCAATTTACTTCAAGTTTCAAAACATAACCACAATGATATCTTTCTTATTGCTCCTTACTTTGTGAAAACGAATGGTATAAGATGTCCCAGATGCATTGAATTTGAGGAAGGGCCTCTGCCTGTGTACAGGAAGAAAGGTTTACCCTGTTCAACCTTGTTAAGTATACCATGCATTTCTCTGAAAAATACAGAATGTAGAAACATGTTATTGAATCTGTTTTAAATACTCATTTGCTATGTTGGGTTCCAATATAGTAACAATAATGAAAAATATGAGCATATGGTATATGATAAATATGGGGTTCAGAGGCTGTTCAATTCTTTAAATCGATCATACTGCCACACAAGGAAAAGGTAACTGACATTTTTTAATACTGAGCCTTCAATCAAGTTCTTGCACTATTAAATATTTACAAACATACAATGTACCTGTGAGAAAAGAATACACCCCTCTTGAGTAAATGATGCGCAGGCTTGCCTGTGATCTTCTCAATTCTTGTAACAAGTTCATCATCTATCTTAGAACTGCCAAATTTTTCTGAAAGAATAAATTGGTTTCAAAATATGTTCATAAAATATTTATTGTGCATCAATAGTAAGAAGAGACAACTGTATTCTCTATGATGAGTGCACAGTTCTAATGAGCACACATGCGACTTTTATGTTGAATGTAGTCTAAAAACCATGAAATTTAATGCATTAGTTTCGATTTACACAAGATATCGATCGATTATATATAATACAGAGAAATACAGGAGCTGTAGAATATGTAAACCTTAGTAAGAACAACTAAAAAGATTACCGGCTATATTTCTTTCTAAATTTTTCATGTGCACTTATTGGAATCTCTCAATATTTTACCCTTTTCAATTTGGAAACCATACTGTGCACTCATTAGCACTCATTTACACTACACGCAGCATTCCAAGACATCTTGGCTAAAATGTTTTAGAAAAATTATGTTGAGTTAACACCACCATTTTCAAGACGTCTTATGAAATATGATTGAGTTTACACCTGTTTTTCTAAAACGTCTTAGAGATATGTAGGTATATATGTAAAATGAAAAAAGTAGTTCAGTATTGGTTGAATGACGGTTCAGTCAATATAGCTATTCCTTTCCCGCTTCTATACTTTGTACTAAAGAATGCATTGGTTTCACAAAAATATGTCCTAAAGACAGCATTGTTAAAAGCATGAAAGAAAGGAGGACGATTTTATGCATAAAGTAGGATTACGATAAATCGCCAGGCAAATAAGTTCTTCTCAATAATTTTGGGATGATATTGGGAACAAGGGATAAGACAAAAGAAAGGACAATGCGACATATGTAAATGGAAAGTTTCAAATGTTTTGTTCGGCGCAACCCCCAAAAAACGGGCTCTTAGCTAATACCGATGGATTTACACTCGCTTGTAAAACGTTTTAACGCTAAGACATCTTGGCTATGAGAAGAGTCCTAAAACGTTTTAGCTAAGCACTCTTAGTCAAGAGCTCTCGAGAAAATCTGGATTTACATTACATTTGTTAAACGTTTTAATGCTAAAACGTTTTAGCCAAGACGTCTTAGGGCTCTAGTGTAAATCCAACAATTAGAGAGAATTTGTGGATTATATCCTTCAGATCTGAGTCTTAGTCGTCTAAAGGCGAATTTGTTTCGGAATGAACACTCTTTACTTTAAAAAGCCAATTCTTATTTATTTACCGTACTTAACTTATAAACTTTATATCACATTCAGACTAGAGTCTAAAATAACAATTTAGATCTAGATCTATGGAAGTCTTGTGATAAAACTTACTTATGAGTTTATTATAATCAATCCCGGTTGCTGATTTACTGGCCACACTCCATGGGTCAACAAAGTCGTCGTCATCAGCTTCTACCTTGCTATCACCCATTGTCAATTTTGATAATTTTTCAGCCACATCCTCAGGTCCGTTTTTGACATCCGGCTCTGCCATTTGACTAAATGTGAAACGTGGGTCCAGATGATCGTTGAAAATAAATTTTTTAGAAGGTTTTTCGCAATTAATATTTAGTATCTTGTTTCTCTTTGATGTACTCCTGTTTTTGGTGTATATTTTATAGTCGATAGATTCATCCAGGCGTCAATATTTACTTTTCTATGAACATTTCAGATATTTTCATCAGAAATGTGGACTCTATCCGAGCATTTAAAGAGAGCGTTTCTGATTGGTTGAATAGCCTAAAAATGTCTTAAATCAATTTGTATTGGACGTTGATTCAAGATGTCTGCGCCCTTGAAAAAATAAACAAAATTAAAAACTTGAAGCGTTTTAGCTTGTTTTATACCTCTTTCCATTACAGTAAAATGTCATCACTAGTACCTAGTTATGAAGGAAGTTCTGATGAAGAAGGGGTTGACAAAATACGTTCAACTTTAGAAGAAGACAAAGAAAAATGGACACAAAAAGAAAAAACTAATGTTGAAATAAAAAATAAATCCCAGCAGACTACATGTAGGTCTAGGCCTAGATCTAATTTCTTTGGATTAAATGACTGTTCAAGTGGTTCTGATGATGAATCAAATAATGTTTGCAATGAAATGAATACATGTGTGAAAGATGGCAGTGTACCAGAATCTGAATTTTGGTTGTCAGATAATCCTAAACATTTTGATACAGGTGGCTGGAAGGATCATCGGATTGATCAATCGCCTTCAGAAATTGTCAATGACATATCAATCATTAATGCTAGTCAAACGAAATATGCAAAAATGTCTGAAAATATAAGCACCCTTTCTAAAGTTACACACAGTAATATCACAAAGAGTAAACATTTATACAAATCATTTGGATCTTATAAATCACAAAATATTTCCCATTCAATGAAAAATGATGTGAAAAAGAAATCATTTTACTTTGTTCATCACAAAATTGGTCCTCATCTTCATGGTCATTCAGACTATAAATTGCCTAAAAAACAACAGTACTGCTTTGATGGCCACACAGGGACAATAAATCGGATTTGTTGGAACAAGGGACAGTTTAGTCACTTATTAGCTTCTGCATCAATGGATGGCTGTGTGAAAATATGGAATGCTTTTTCATCAACTCAGAACTATTGTGTACAAACTCTCACTAGTCATAATAAAGCAGTAAAAGAAGCAGTTTGGAATCAAGATGGAAGAAAAGTATTGAGTTGTGGCTATGACACAACTGCTAAGTTACATGATGTTGAAACAGGTGCCTTGTGTAGAGTTCATAGTTTAGCTTTTGATAGTTCACAAAATACATGACACAGAAAATGTATAAGAACTAGATTGACATAAAGATGGCAGCGCTAGTCTGTCTGTCATACATGTATAAATAGTTAGACCGAATACTACCATCTTTCAGACAGCCTATTTCCTAATGTGAAAATTATTAAATTATGAGTATTCATTCTCTTCTCTGCTGTACATGTACATTAAAAAAATGCAAACACTAATTGCATATTATGAAAGGAAAAAAGCAGTATAAAAATTTACATGTAAATAACATATATTTAAAGCAATATTATTTTCACAATTGATTATGTTTCACTAGAGTCTAGATTGTTAACATTTTAAAAAAATAGCAAAATTGACAAGACAAGGGTTACAGTATTTGCCTATGTGGAACTGAATATGATAACTAGAAATTAAAAAAATGACTGTCTGAATGATGTTTCTTTTTGCAGGTAAACAGTTAATGTCAGTTAACCATGACAGCTGTGTATCCACCATAAAACAGCACCCAGTGAATACTAACTGTTTTGTAACTGGATCAAACAATCACATACACATGTGGGACACAAGATCACCTGGAGAACTATCACAGATATATACTTACAAAGACAAGTTTGGCCAGGTATGAAACTAAATTAGTTTTAATTTTAATTCTTACTAACCCTAGGATTTTAATTATATTTCCTGCTAATATTTATGTACGAATATTTTTATATTTCTTGAAAATCAACTTTTTGTAAATGATAGAATGTGCAATAATTTAGTTATATACATGTAGTCTAGTGGTTGATTGTGGATAAAGTGTTAATCTTTCAGTAAATATACATGTTTATCTTTCTCAAGATTGATCTTATAATCTCCCATGACATAAACCTTGTACTGAATTATTGACAAATATTGTTGATATGCTTTTTAGGTGCAAGATCTACTTTTCATCAACCATGCAGAGCAGCTGGTGTCCTGTAATGATATGGTCAGCAGAAATATGTCAGATAGGAACATTATGTGCTGGGATGTCAAAACTGGAGTTGTGCTGTCAAACCAAGTTTATCAGGTAAATATATACAGGGTGTCCCGAAAGTATGGGGCCCCCCCTAGGCAGACATATTCCAGTGTCCTCATAGTATGTGTCATATATCATTCTAAAGCTTATCCAAAGTTACATTGATTTGCCAAGTATCATGGTTTAACTCCCAAATGGGAAAAAGTTACAGTCATTTTAAAAGTTAGTGTTTTGTCAAAATAAAGTTCAATTTTACACCATATTACTAGTCAATGTGTCCCCCCTTGGCCATGTTAACAGTAGAAATTATTTTCAGATATGACCTTAAAAGCCCTTCAAATAGGGGTGTGGGATTTTATAACCCTCTTAAAACCTGTTAAGGGACTTTAGAAGAGTTTCCTTAGAGTTTCTACCCTCACCATTCTCTTTTTCCAACTCAATATCCCTCCGACCCGAAAAGAATTGCTGCTGTTAAGATGGCCCAGGAGGACACATTGACTAGTGAATTGGTGTAAAATTGAACTTAATTTTGACCAAACACTAAATTTTGAAATGCCTATAATTTTTTCACATTTGAGAGTTGAACCATGATACTTGGCGAATCAATGTAACTTTGGATAAGCTTTCAAATGATATATAACACATACTATGACGACACTGGTATATGTCTGCCTAGGGGGGGCCCATACTTTCGGGACACCCTGTACTAGAGGTGTCAAGTATTAACCGGTTAACCGGTTAACCACCGATAATGCCTTGACCGGTCTGAGTTTTTATGGGCGGTTAGTTGATCGTGTATAATTCTGTTATTTCCCCCGCTTATTTTGCATGCTAATCCGTTTGGTTTTATGGTGTCAGTTTCACGTAAGCTACTCATACATGTCATAAGTCCCATAACTCCTTACAAACATCCAATCAGCAACTTTAATCCCTGCCACATTGCTTTCCCGCGCTTACTTTGCATTTTAATCTGTTTGTTTTCAAGCGTCAGTTTCATGTGAGCTACTCATACATGTGATAGGTCCGATAATTCCTTACAAACATCCAATCAGCAACTTTAATCCCTGCCACATTGCTTTCCCGCGCTTACTTACATAGAATAGCGTAAAGCTTGACGAACGTAAAAAATAAACGCCGATATATCATTTTTTCCAATTTTTTTCAACTTTCAAGATCGAAGATGAAGATTTCATTTGAAATTATAAGTTCAAATTTCCCGCCGGTTAACCGACTTTAACCGGTAAAAACCCCCGGTTAACCGGTTAATGCTCACGCGGTTAATTGACACCACTACCCTGTACAGTAGTTGAGCACATCTTTTCCATGCACATGTATTTAAGCCATGTTTTCGGAAGACTTTTAAAATCCTGCATTTCCAACAGATAGCTTTCATATCAATTGCTGTGTGGCACAGCAATGACACCAAAATTACAATTATTGTAACTCTGTTGAATTGAATTAATTAAACAGATTTACATAACAGATAACATAACTTTACCATTGATATCCTGTTGTGTATAATACACCTATGCTCTGCTTCTGAGTCGTGACAGGAAGTTGAAATATGTGCTTTAAAAATGAAATAAAAAAATCATCAAAATGATATCATGATTCCAGTATACTTGGACTGAAGGAACTTTTATGAACTAATAGTTTTATCATTGAAAGTATTCACTCACTGTCTAATGACATTTTTGGTAGGAGGCGGCCATTTTGAAAAATGGCCACCATTTTAACATATTTTACTATAACTCAAAAAGTAGTGGAGCCATTTTGTTCATATTTGGTATGTGAATACTATAAGCATGGCACACTGTCTAATGACACTTTTGGTAGAAGGCAGCCATTTTGAAAAATGGCCGCCATTTAAACGTAATTTACTCGGCCTTTACTCGCTATTTAACGATTTTTGCTGTAACTTGAAAAGTAGTGGAGTGATTTTGTTCATATTTGGTATGTGAATACTATAAGCATGGCACACTGTTTAATGACACTTTTGGTAGAAGGCGGCCATTTTGAAAAATGGCCACCATTTTGAAGTATTTTACAATTACTCGAAAAGTAGTGGAGCGATTTTGTTCATATTTGGAATGTGAATACTATAAAAAAAAGCATATTACTTCTTCTGATGACAACTTGGATAGTGAGCAACCATTTTGAAAATGGTAGCCTTTCTTATGTGTGTTATTTTATGATATTTGCTATATTTTGTTTGTAAAAATGCCAGTCGTTTCTGTTCGATGGGATTCGCTACGCTTTGTCGTTGCCGTTGTTCTGGTTTATGCATGGAATATAAAATGTTTGGCAAATTTTAGATGTTGGTAACTGAAGAATGAAACATTTGAGAATTTTCGATCTAAACTGAAATGTAAGTTGAATTTCAGGAGAAGTACACCTGTACTAGACTGAGACTGCAGCCTGATGGTGCACGATTTACAGCTCAATCTTCAGGTGGATATGTTGCTCTCTTCTCAACAACCAGACCTTATAAGATGACACGACATAAACGATATGAAGGTCACAAGGTAAATACTAAAAATAGCTTCCACTATTATCATACTTTGCTCTCAGCAAATATGTCAAACAAGACAAGACAATCTTGTAGCTTTTTGATCAATATTGGATATGTGTTTTTCATTAGAGATTAACAATTTACACAGTCTCCCTTTGGAGGGGCCAACAATTTTAAAATAGATATCACCACAATATACATATAGCATAGATATTAGGCACTGATAATATAGGTCAATTGAAATCTTTCAGGTGCTTGGTTATAACATAGGACATGATATCAGTCCAGATGGATCCCTGCTGGTCAGTGGAAGCTCCACAGGGAAGATGCATCTCTATGACTATAATAGCTCAAAATTACTCAAGACATTTTCATCTGGAAGTGATGTATGTTTAGATGTGACATTTCACCCTGTACTGCATAGTACTATAGCAACATGTGACTGGAATGGGAACATATCAATATGGCAATAAGGGAAAAATAATTTTGAAATTTTGTATCTGTTTCTGGCTGTTCTTAGTAGACATAAGAGCTCTCCGTTTAATGCACATGGTTGCCATAAACAATGGAAGATAATGTCTTATTATCCCATTGAATAAAGTTCGTAAGGATTGTAATGATGTCATAGAGCAATGAGCAGTTTTTAACTGAATATATGGGCTATATTATGTTAAAAGATGATTAAATAAGACTGAATATTGGCAAAGTTAGAGCCAATGGTCCATTACTTCCTGATCAGCCCTCGTAGAGAAGTGGTTTGTCTGTCCATCCATTAGTTTGTCTGTTTGTTCGTCTGTCTGACTACTAAAATACCAGGCAATGCATTTGATCTAAATTATATATGCTGATGCATAGAGACAAAAGAGCTTTACTTAAGAAGACATTTTCAAGATAGCCACTGATTTTCAAAATGGCTGTCGTTTTTTCGTAAAAAAAGTAATCTTTGGTGTCAGTGGACGGATTTGGTTTAAAATTTATATGCTGATGATTATGGAACAAAACTACCAGATTTGGTATATATGTTAATGCCTTATGATCATTTGGCCTCTACTTAGAAATAATTTTTTGATATATGGTGTCACATCACATCAAGGGTATACACCAAAAGGAGACAAAACTACTATTTCTATCATGTGATTTCCAACATCACGAAGTATTTGCTGTTTTCTAGTGATGTTTAGGACAAATGATACTTGTGAAATACATTACTTTCACCAGTTAACCCTGGGTTTCAATGATAAAATCCCGCAATTAAAGTTGTTTCAGAAATAAATCCCTCTGTATGATTTTAATTAAACTTTAAAATGAAAAAATAAATGAAACACAAATTGAGAAATAAATTATGCTTTTTATTCATTATATAATTGTATACATAATACATATAACATATAACATGTATATTATTAGTAAATTGTATCTATAGTGTGCCATTTAGTTATTCAATAGTTCACAGATTGTCTCATATTACACCCATTAGTAAATTTTATAATATACATTTACATTGGGGAGAGTGCAATCATAAAATGATTACTGGGGAATTATCAGCCTTTACAATTTACATCTACAATGCTGTATCCATGGTATTCTTGCTTTACTTATTTTTAATATGCTGATATGCTTATTCTGAATATTTTGGATTTGGCAATTTTTGTAATTTAGAACAACCATTTTAACATAACTTTGACATTTTTCATTGTTACATATACATATTCTCTGATTATGTTCATAAGTCACCATAGGGTAGATATTCCATGCACTGAATCACACCAATGATTGTCTACCTTAATGAAATGCAATGCAATACTGATCACGTGATGCAATACTGATCACGTGATGCAATACTGATCATGTGATGCAATACTGATCATGTGATGCAATACTGATCATGTGATGCAATAGTGGGCATGTAACGCAATACTGGGCATGTAACGCAATACTGGGCATGTAACGCAATACTGGGCATGTAATGTATTACCGAGTATGCAGAGCAAAGGCAACATATTTCTTTTAATCGACGGTGATAATTTGCACACTCACTTCTAATTTTATTTAATCCAATTCAAACTAAAATTTTAAAAAATGGAAGCTTGGGGATAAGGTCAAAAAATTAATATAAGACAAATGACATCCTTGACCCTTGCCTCTCTCGTTTTATAATGAAACCTTGAAGATCTACTGTACTTGAGTACTATGTAGTAACACATCAATATTTGCCTATATAAGGAAATGCCCCACTACCTCCTCCCTTCATTGAATAATAGGGAGGTCAAGTTAGCTCGTTTTGAAGAATGTGTATGTAAAACGTGTAGAGTTATTGTCCCCTATGGACTATTTTCACCTCACTAGCATTTATTTGCCTCCCGAGTATGAGGGTGTGAGGGAAGTAGTTGAAATAAGGTCCCAAATTGAAAGGTGAACAACAATTCCTGTGGATCATAATATTACAAGTTTACATTCAAGTTCTTTCCAATATGTGTATTTTGACCTCTAGGGCCCTAGAGAAACATTCTGAATACTGAAATCTCATAAATTTGAGCGAATTAACTTCATATCCATTTACAAAAGACAAGATACTAGTTGTTGATTGTATTGTAACTGATTGGACATCACCCTGAGGCTGAAGATTGTTTCACAAATTATTATCTTGGCAGATATGGTTTGAGCAACAGCAACAGGGGTCATCGCCCTTCATACATGTACATTGCATATGCTCCTCAGATGCAGACAGCATTTTAGCAGGTTTATTATGGTTGTACATCTTCCATTTTATATCAATGATCAATATCAATCTGATGAATAACATAATTAATTTTTGATATATTTGTTTATCCCTAATATGGAATTGTTACCATGTACGTTAATCTTAAATAGAATTGAAAAACAAGGGTTATTGATATTTTTACCTACCCCCTAAGAACAACATTCAAGCATGCATTAATTATGCTCTCTTTTACAAAAAAGCATGTATCCATTCAATCAATTAAAATTATAACAAATCACAAATGCATATATTTGAAACATGTGTCTATACAAAATCACCAATATTATAGCAATTACACTCTCTTTGGAGATACATCATATGATTGATACAAAATAAATATGGTGATTATACTGCAATTATAAATAATAAGTTATAGACTATTAAGTACATGTACCAAAAAGCATTGGCAATTAATCTAAATGACGTTATACTAAAGTACAATAATTTTGAATTATCGATATTATTGTACATGCTTTTAAATCAATGTACTATTTTGTTATTCCAAATAGTTTTAAGTATTACAAATAATCACATACATAAGTTCAATTATTATTTCAGTAATATAACTACTGCAGGTGGACTTTTTACAAGAGATTTGCAAATAAATGTAGTTCCGTGAACATATAATCAATAAGTACTGTCAAGTCATCTTTTTGGAGGTCACTTCCATTTTTGTTATAAGATTATTCTGTACAGAGCAACATGAAAATTGAAGCCAACATGTCAGTTTTGGGTGTTCTGTTTGATTGCACATTTAAACATCATCAGGCTTTTTTCGAACAGTTCTTTGGCTTTTGTGTCCAGTATATGGAGTCCTTGTATATTCTCAGTGTGATAGGAACAAAGACTTGCATCAAGGTTCGACAAAATGTTATGATCACTAGCAAGTGTTACAATATCCTCAACATTGTCTGCTTCAATTGCTTGTTGAATTTTCGAGCGGAGCTTATGCATTGAATCACGGTTTCGTTTAACAAATTTTATTTTATTATCAACGGTAGACTTCTTGTTTTCGTATAATTCATCGATTTCCTCTTTAAGAGAGTCTTTCCTGTTTTTCATCTGCTGAATACACTGGTCAAATTTTGTATCAACTTGGTAGTGGCAGCTATCACGTGTTGTGTCCAATGATGCAATACATAACTCAAGACGCTCAATAAGCACTGACTGCAAGTCAAAGGCAACATTAGTCTTTGATAGAATGTTTTTCAAATCCATCAAATTCTCATCTTTCACTTCTGATATTTCTTTCACAACATGCCCCTGCCCCATATTGTGTCCCAAAACTGTGCAATCCCGGCAGATGACAGCTGTGCATGACACACAGAAAAACGACAGTGGTTGGTTGTGATGCTTTGTGCAGCCCTTCACCTCCTTTGGTTTAACCTCCTTCTCAATGATATCCTCCAAAGAGCAATCACGACGTAACAACTCTTTCATATTCGTGACATAAAAATTTGTCTGGAGAGCATCTACGCCATCTGCAATTCTGTGAGTTTTGCGACAAGAAGGACACACAATAATGCTGTTGTTCAGCAGTGTATCAAGGCAACTGCGGCAGAATGAGTGATGACAGGGTAGAAGTTTAGGCATGTGGTCTTCCTCATTATACAGACTAAGGCACACTGTACAAGACACCAGGGGGTTCTCTATGGAAGAATCACTGTCAGGTATTCCTCCAACTGCCTCTGCAGCCTGAAAACATCATTAGTGTGCAGTAAAATATGTTGTATAGTTCAGTAAAATGCTTTGTACTGAGTAAATTAAAATACTTTGTAATTTTTTACTTAAAGTGTTATATACAAATAAGAGATAAGAGGAGTTTCTATTAGCTTTTTCATGAGATTTTAAGAGAATGTGAACATTTAATCTCGATGACTTACCTTTCCTTCTTGTAAATAGTATATTTGAATTTAGTTTAAAGTTTTCTTCAATAATAACTTTGTTTTACACAGTTAATATCATTTAAATCACTTTCCAAGACTTTTTCAACTTTTTTTCTTTAAAACCTTGGTTCATTTGCTTGGCAACCAAAATTGTCAATGCTACTCATAGAAACAGTTTTTCTGTTGCTATGTTGTTGATGTTTATCAACTAGTGGCAATTTCTTGCTTTGGAGTAAAGATGGCTGTATCTTATAGTCATATGAGAAATTGCCATCTTTCATCCTAAAAAGTCACCCATGCAAGATCTGGACATTAAATTTACCTTGTCTTTATCATCCTTAATTTCATTATGATTGTAGTAGTTAAGCAGGTGCACCTTCTCTCCTCTACTGTGTAGACCAACAGTTGGATGCAAACCACCCCCTCTGTATGTAAACTTACACTCATGGACCTACAAGCAAAAATACATTATAAGATGGGTGCAGGTTATGAATTAATCAGTGATAAGTTTTTACCTTAACCTTAACATGTTACTTTGCAGCTGAGACATTTTGTTTAGATTCTGAATAGATCGTTAGGTCAACTACATGTCTTTTCACAATTCAATTTATTTCAAGTAGTTCCACTTTTTCATCTTTTTAACATTTAGCATCTTTTTGTTGAATGAATGGTAATTCGGGGTGTATTTTGCACTACCAGAAATATGAATTTTATTGGCGAGAACTCAAAATCTATAACAACTGAGCAAATATACAATTCAGTGTCAGACTGAACTATATGGTTAAGAGAAGATGTCAATATGTCTACTTTAATTCTTCTTAATTTGGCAGCTGTTTTAATTTGGTGGATCCACCAAATTGTTAATGTCCACCAAAATAAGTATCCTCTATAATTTCAGGACCATGTAAATTAGTATTACTAGTGCTAAATTAATTAGAAGTACAGTACAGTATGTAATTCTAAATCAATTTTGAAAATTAACAGTTATTGGTATTTCTCAAGACTTTTTTTACCTACTTTACAAAAAATAGAATTAACAGGTATCCAATGTTCCATTTCTCTGTTAAAGTGATTCATCCTTTCAAGTTATTCAACAACTTTTTTATGCAAGTTTTCATTCCACAATCCTTTATCAACCATATCCCTTTTGAACAATTGTATGAAATAATCTTTTAGTCAACTCATTTAATATTTTCTTTTAACATGCAACATGATCCACATTTTTGAATAAAGTCAAGTAAAACAAAAACTAAACCCAAAATTATATGAGTTTTAAAGATTTTCTAATTGGATAGTTTAAGTCACATGGTCACAAAAGCCACTTGGACAGTTTACATGCTTTGGTGTTTGTTTAAACAGGAAACAGGAAACAACTTTATAGATTTACTCTGGCAACCACATCATAAAATCATAAACCACAATTTAAAAGGAGGATATATTTCTGAACGGTTTTGGGCAAAACAAGATCTATAAGTCTAGCCACGACGACCACAACAATATTTCAATTTTACAATCTCAATTTTAATATGGGATGACCAACATTACAACTATATCTTTAAGACAGAATAAATAGTTATCTAGAAATTGAATAATAAAAAGGTCTTTCATATTTCTCAAGGTAATAACTACCGTTCATCAGTGTATAGGGATTGGTGGGGGATATGCTCAAACATCTAAGCACACTACATTTTGTACATTAGTAACCTCATTAGCCTCAGCTATTTCTACCCAACCCACTAAAAAGAAATAAAGGTTATAACAAGATGGCCGCCAAAAAGTTAATCAGTTCTAGAACTTCTTATAATGTAACATGTGTAAAAATTTGAAGCAAATCTGTGGTTTTTCCTGGAATCGCGATGACAAGATTTATCTAAAAACTTCCAAGATGGCCACCAAAATGCAAGATGGCTGCTGAAAAGTTAATCCAAAATGCAAGATGGCTGCTGAAAAATTAATCAGCTCTAGAACTTCTTACCATCTAACATGTGAGAAAATTTGAAGTAAATCTGTTTAGTGGTTTTCCTGGAATAGCGATGACAAGATTTATCTAAAAACTTCCAAGATGGCCGTCAGAATGCAAGATGGCCTAAAAACTTCCAAGATGGTCACCAGAATGAAAGATGGCCACCCAAAAGTTAATCAGCTCTAGAACTTCTTACCATGTAACATGTGTGAAAATTTGAAGTTAATCCGTCCAGTGTTTTTCCTGGAGTGGTGATGACAAGAAAGTGAGACACCGCCCGCCTGCCCATCAAGCTAACGACAATATCTTACCTTTTTTTATAGGTACAATAAAAAATAAGCACAATACCCAAGCCTAATTCCCCGACTAAAAGTGACATTACCCACATTCCACTTCACAAAGTACAGTCAGCAAGTGTACTGTTTTCTAAATGATACCTAATAATGGCATGAGTTTTCAAGAGAAAGCCCATGCTAATGGCTAATATAATGACAAAATCTAATATAACCTTTTTAAGCTTAAGTCGTCTACTAAAACCATTTCCACATGTTTTCATTATCCCATATACACCATTACTCATTTATGTGTAATATTTAGCATTTATAGCATTAACATAGAGGGTGACGGTAATGCAGGTAATATTGGTTAGCTACAAAATTGGGCATTTACCAGAAGTAGAAATTATTAACTGTTAACTGGCTACCGAAGATTTTTTATTTATCAAAACCTTACAAACCTTGCAAGCATTCTTGGTAAAGTAGACTATAATGTTCTGATTGCACAATGGTATCCCGTCACTATCATATTGCACTCCAGTTGTCACATATCCACATCCCATGACATCCCCTTTCTGACATGGTATTGGGGGCCCTGAACCAGTCAGTAGTTCACGGAATATTCTGTAAGTAATTGTACATGTAATTATAGCAAACACATTTTTGTTGCTATTCTATAATCCTATTTTATAACCATGAAGACAATTTAAATGTTTATATATATAATGTAACAATGTTGCATGTGTGTATTCAAAACACAACTTTTAATAATATAGCATATAGTGGCACCAGAGGAACAAGAAGCTGCTAACTTGAGATATCACAAATCTGTATGTTTTTTTGAGTGATTGACAACCTGGAAAGACAGGTAACTTATATGGATTTTGGGGTCCAGGAAACTGGGCATGTAAGACATGGCTGCAATCCTATATATACAATGTTGATGTGAAAAAGCCAGTCGTCCTGTAGCTCAGTGGTAGAGCCCTTGCCCGGAAAGCGAGGGGTCGTGGGTTCGATCACCACTGGGGTGGACTGACTTTTTCCCATCAGCCCTTTGCACAGGATTTCATTCTGTGTTTTCATTAACTATTTTATAACCATGAAGACAATTGAAAAGACAAACCAAAGCAACAAGAAGCTGCTAACAGGGGATATATTCAGTTGAGATACCACAAATCTGTATGGTTCTTAACCTACTTTGAACATTTTTAGTCAGCATTGGTCAAATCAACATTTAATTTGTTGAGAAGAAATCCTAAGTAAGGGAGAAATAGTGTGTTACCTGCCATCATCTGCATGATAGGCCACAGATCCAACATCCCAACCAGGGTGTCTTTCAAACTGGTACTCACTGTGTACCAGGCCTATACTGATTGTCCTTGATGCCCCTCCTTCAAGAATCTTCAACTCAAAGTTAGAGTGCTCCTTATTCAGAGAGTGTTTTCCAATGAATGTGCCAACTGGACTCTTGGGAACAGTTGCAGAGTAGCTAAAAAAATAAATTGAGTCTCAAATGAATACTGGTATATAAAAAAAGTGGACTCCAAGTCAAAATGTGGTTATGGATATGGTAAAGGTTTAGAAGGTTTGACTGACTGACTGACTGATGGATGAATGGAGGGCTTCACTATATCCTCACCGCACTTCACTCGTTGGGATAATAAATTGCCATAAACATGTACAGTATTTGTTGAAACAAGTTTTAATAAAAATACCTGTTCGAGTTACAAATTGCTAAATATAAGAAATGAAAACACACACTAGACATAAAGCAATGGATTAAGTATTTAGTAAATAAAGTATGATGTTGTTTTATATTATATATAAACCACTGACGATGAAGTTTGACAAATTATTTATTTCAATTATTCAGTTCATTATACCTTAGTATTCCATCTGGTTGTATCTCCACTAAGTTGCTCCTGCCTTTAATTATGAACTGGTTCACATCTCCTGGGATAGGATTCTGAAAATCATGCATGGTAAAATGTCATGATGTCATCTTAAAGGTGCAATAATTAGTGCAGAGGGGTCATTCAACGATCATGGACCAGTGTCAAAATATATTTAAGTTTGGATATTTCATTAAGACTAACATCTATTTTTATTATCTACAAAAAACCACCTAGATAAACATTATTTAAGCTGATATTCCTCTTGAAACATGGTGGATCTTAAAAATATAAAAGTGGAAGTCCCCTTTTTGAAGCTTTGAACTGAATTTACACTTCTTAATGCTGAAATTGATAATTTATCCATACATTTTAAGAAAATAGGTATGTCAAAGAAGATGTTAAACCAAATGTTGCCTTGATAGCTCAGAAAAATGAAAAAAACTTTCCTATTTTCTCTATAGTCCTTATTGCCCCTTTAAATAGAAAAATAGAGATGAACTAAGGAACTTAAGTGGAACTTAAGGAATGAAGTCACTAGGTATGAAATAAACACTAAATTATATTGAGATGAAAAAACACAGATGCTTCATTAATAATCCAAGGTAGTTTCTCATAGTACCATGGGCTTTCAACAGATCAATCCCATGATAGTACTTACAGTGAGAGTGGTCAATGTCTACCAAATAGGCCAAATATCAACTAGATAACGGCAACTCCGCGGAGTAGCAAATCCCAACGAACAAAATATCAATTACCGAATTCCAATCAATTATACTCATTACTTTGGTTGAAAATGAAAAAATTAGATTTTAGAATTGTGAATTCCTGCAAAGCAGCCATTTTGAATTTCTGAGGTACAAATCTGAAAAATAATACCATAATTGTGATCTACTCCAAAATTCCTTCAATTTGAGTATAATATAGCCATACTTTGAAGGTATCGAAAAATTATTGCGAAATCGTACATTAGACGGCCATTTTGAATTTTACGAGGCTCGAATCAGAAAAAAGATACAATATTTGCAATCTACTCTTAATTGCCTTTCATTTGAGTATAATAAAGCTATACTTCAGAAAGATCTAAAAATAAGCGAAAATTTCTGTTTTCCTGTCCCCCCATACATGGCCCCTGGGGGTCAGGATGAAAAACACGGAATATATGTGAAATAGATAAATGTTGTGAATACACTACCAAAATTTCAAACAATAATATTAATTACTTTGGTTTAGAATGAAAAATTTATGATTTTTGCGAAAAAGTCCCGTCATTTTTAAAGCGGCGGCCATCTTGAAAAAATTGTTTTTTGCGTAAAACTATTCACCAATATACATCTTTCCACTAAATATGAAGAAAATCTGTCAACTAGTATTTGAGTTATCTTCCGGACAGACAGACGGACGGACTGACTGACTGACTGACGGACAGACGGACGGACGGAGGGCTTCACTATATCCCTAACGAACTTCGTTCGTTGGGATAATGACCCCTGTTACACAGGATGGTTGAAATGCCTTGTTACGAAGCATTTTGACAAAAAGCTTCGTAACGAAGCAATTTTGGGCCAGTGTAACACCTCCGCCTAAGTTAGAAAAGCTTAGTTGGTAACAAAGCAATTGAGTAGAAAATTCAACAAAGATTAGATCCCAACGAAGCTTTTTTTGCCAATGTAACAGGTAGCTTCATTAGAAAATGCTTAGTTGGCAGTTTGCGCATGCACATAATAAAGAGCACATTCATCATTTTGTATTAAATCAGAGAAATCGCCAGAAAAAAAAACGTTAAAGTATTATTATAATGTTGCGTAATTATTTCCCGTCTTTAATAGCATTCATTCTGATTCCCTACCTTTCCTCACATGAATATGCCACAAAGTATCAAATCTAAAAACCGCAGGTTTTACCGTATACGTATACAGTAGTTTTGAAACGTTTATTCAATCCATTAGCGAATATTAGACCTAGAAAACTCAGTCTCATGTGTGGAAGCATAAACTTTTGGAATTACGTAATCTATGCTTACTAAATAGAATGATGTGCATACATGTTTGATATTTAGATTTTTTGCTCCTCGTATAATCATACCTTGAATATAATTAGATGTTAATACCATGATACTATCTCTTCCCAGTGAATCACATCAGGGATTTAGCTGATTTAATTTATACGAAAATGCCTCTACTCAGCATTCATTATTGTTGCCTTTGAATTATTGATTTGTCCTAAGATGTTGCTTACAACTGATATTCAAGTTTCTTCCTATTTGTGTCACTTTCAATTAACGGCTGATGGATTAACATACTATTTTTATGGCCAGCTCATTCAAATATAAATGGCGGGTCATATTCATATTAAAATAAATTGGTCATGAAATAGTAAATTAAACCAACAGCCGAATCCAAGATATTTAATAATGGCTACACTATTTGAATCACGCAATATGGTATAACTGAGAAGCCCATTCGGGAATCGATTTTATACGATATATAAAATGAGAAGAATACGTATTGACTGAAATATATTAAAATCGTAGTAATCGGAGAAATGTATGGACATGTGTTCATAATATTTTCCCGAGAATTTCAAACTAGTCATTTTCTGTGCAGAATTGTAAAATACAGTTTAAAAGTTAAATGTTCATCGATTTATATTAAAATAATAAGAATATTAATAAATAAGTGGACTGGGCAGATGAGTAATGCGCATGCACAACGAAGCATTTAAAGTGCAGTGTAACACCAAATAATTGCTTCATTAGGGTTGGATAAAGCCAATGTAGACTCAATTTTTTGGCTAACCTTTGTTACAAAAATGCTTCGTTAGACTCAACCCAGCAGTGTAACAGGTACCAATGTGGTATTTTCATTAATGTGTCTGTCTTCCGAATAGGCCAAATATCAATGTGCCATTTTTATGCAAAAGTAATTTTGATAAAGGGAGGAGTAAAAAAGTAAAGGTGACATTAAAAACAAGAAACAGGAAAAAATGCCATTTCAATAGGGATAACACACTTGTACAAATAAAGTACTTGTACTTATGTCTATCAACTGTTATAGCAAGATACACAGTATTGTACTTTGAAGGTGATGACCTAAGTGGCCAAAATTCAAGTTGAATGGATGAGCAGTTTTCCTGAAATTTTAATGACAAAATTTATGTGGTGTCTCAACCCAGATGCATGCATGCATGTCCATCAGCACACTTAGTGGGGAATGTTATCTTTAATTATTACTTAGCACCAATATTCACCCAGTATCTTTACTAATGAATGAACCAAGCAAAAGAAAGATTATCTGCACCTACCTTCCTATCCTTATGAGCCAGAAAGTTGAGAAGATGGACCTGTTCTCCAGCATTGTGCATTCCTATAGCAGGGAGAATTTTCCTACTCTTACACTGCCACTTGTATTTGTAGGCCTGGAAAAGAAATAGAATGAACTGATGAGTAACAGATGCAGCCCAAACAAACTCATGGTAGTTTATACCTGATCATTGCAGACTTAACTACTATTTTACAAGTACATGCAGACATGAAACAACACATTAAACAACTTTGATGGTTTGATTTTAAAACATACCAGTTCATAGTTCTTGTAGAATTCCACACTGAAGTTATTGTCTGCAGCTTTAGTAACCTTCAGGCCCATGACGTCTCCTTTCTTACACCTATACTTGCCTTGTTGTCCTTCACCTCTTCCGTTCCTGTACACCCTGAAATCACAAATCAGTACTGGCTGTATGTCTGATATCACATGCAATGCTAATACGGTGCAAAACTCACACATGTCTCTGACTTCCAATGGCAATCAATTTTGTGGCAATCATATTTTCAACTAAAGGTATTTGGTATTTCATTTCTTATTCATTATCAACTTTATTATTACTTTTTATACGACATCACATTATGAGGCTGGTGTGTTTGTGTTCAGAATATTTACATTTTATAGTGATTTACTTTCATGTTTGTATCTCTTTGTTTAAAAAATATTTGTTAATACAGATGAGTGAAAAAATGAAATATTCCATCTTACTTTTTTGTATTCTTAGTGAATCAGCTGATTATTGTGCATTAATATAATTTAAAACTTTCCTCTTATCTTCATAAAGATAAATAAAATATTGAATAAAATATAAATAACTGAAAATAAGCAGTTCCCTAAATTTACCAACCTAAATGACAGAATTCGCCTTGTTAGTAAGCATGTCCAAGATATCCCCAACATTATATATATACATGAGATAAGCATAAAGTAAGGTTATTGTTTGAAGCCATACATAAATTGAGTAAAGAGAATCAGAGTTTGGAGTAGTTGAAATTAAACAAGAGAGCAAACAATTTTGTCAATGATCAATGATAGCTAATTCTGTGTGATGAATTGAATAGTGAAACCACAGAAGAAATGGAAATACCTAGGCAAGAGTTTAAGATTCCCAAAAATTAAGAATAATAGAAACTAAATAAAATCTGAGTAATACAGGTTATATATTACATTCTTTCTGGCAAGAATTGACAAAACCTAAATCTCAAAGTATAAATTGTGAATACACTATACAATGTAGATTTAGAGCCATTAATAAATGATGAAGGGTTCAGTCTGATCATTGCAAATGTGCTATCAGTCAATACTTGCAAAGATGAAACTCTCTTTTAAGAAATAAGCTCAACTGAATACAAAAGGTAATCAGTAAAAGATATATACAACAAGCTCAACCGAATACAAAAGGTAATCAGTCAAAGATGTATACAACAAGCTCAACCGAATACAAAAGGTAATCAGTCAAAGATGTATACAACAAGCTCAACCGAATACAAAAGGTAATCAGTAAAAGATGTATACAACAAGCTCAACCGAATACAAAAGGTAATCAGTGAAAGATGTATACAACAAGCTCAACCGAATACAAAAGGTAATCAGTAAAAGATATATACAACACGCTCAACCGAATACAAAAGGTAATCAGTCAAAGATATATACAACAAGCTCAACCGAATACAAAAGGTAATCAGTAAAAGATATATACTACAAGCCCAAGTGAATACAAAAGGTAATCAGTAAAAGATCAGTAAAAGATACATACAGTCCATCATCAGCATGGAAGCCTATAGAAGGGTCCTTCCAGCCTGGTTGCCTTCCAACAGAGTATCCTTCTGGTATAAGCCCTATGGAGGCACAGCATTGTGATTTCCCTGTTTGTAGTATCTTGATCTCAAAGAATGTGGAGGGACATTCTTTTATTGAACTCTCACCAACTAGGAGTGCCACAGGAGGATTGTGATCTAATGAAGGTATATACCTGCATATAACAAACAAGAATTAACGTATAAATTACCATTCACACTTTGGACATACTGTATATTACTTTTACATTTTCATACAACTGACAAAATTGTTAATGGTTTACTATTTAGTTGATGTTTTTTCTGCATAATATGAAACCATAGTCATATATTTAAAGGACCAACGGATGGACGGACGCCTGATTGATCACATAGGCTCACTGTGTGAGCCAAAAAGGACACAATGTCCCCACCAATGGGTGATCCTAAATGTATTTTTCATCCTGAATACCCAACACTAATCAGTTGAAGAGACAAGATTTTAAGACAAAATGTAATTGCTTGCAATTTTGTCATCCCATATAGATTTGATTCAGCCTTTAGTTTAAGAAGTTTTATAAGTAATTGTAAAGCTTCTAAGAGTTTGAAGATAAGCTTCTGATTCAAAATGGAAGTAGGTATCGAGTCAAGACTTTCGCTACTTCATTTATATATGTACTCGAAAGTTATCCCTGAAAATTTGAAGGTGATATCTGTAGCGGTTTTGTAGAAACTGCCAAACGAATGGATGGACAGGCGAGCAGAGCACTGAACACACTCAGCTAGAGGCTTTGAGTTTGAGTTTTATCCCTGTTCTGTATACCTATATTACATACCTCAATACATTCTTGAACTCTAAATGATTTTCAGTGGATCAAACCCATTATCGTCTTGGTGGCAAGGTTTTTAAGTCCCATTTTAAAAGTTGTCATGGTTACAAGATTCCAAAAATACATTGGGTTTGTGCTTGGACGTGATATCACCTCTTTCATAGTCAACATATATGCTTAATGACGTCATGTCAATTCATTCCTCACAAATGAGTTAAGTGGACACCATTTCTTTTAAGGGGAGGCATCAAAAGTTCAATGTCTGATAGGAAACTAAATAAATCTAGTTTTGAGTTGGACCCCCCCCTCCCCCTCAAAACTAAATACAATGAAAGTTGATCGCGGACTTTTCACATGTTTTAGCGACTCAATTTGGACTTTCATGGGGCCAGTACTATAACTTATTTATGATTCTTAAAACATGTGCCAACAACAATAGGCATAATATTCCATGTTGCATGCATCTTGGTGAAGAAGGCATCTGGTAAAGTCTTTATTTTGAAACCATTCCAAGGCATTCTCGAGTCGAAATTGCGAAAAATTTAAATGTTGAAATTTGTCGGATAGCAAACTGAAATAGCTTTGACCCCCTCCCCCCCAAACTAGATTTATTTAGTTTTCTATCAGACATTGATCTTTTGATGCCTCCCCTAAGACTTCATACACAAAGATAAGTCATTGACTGTTAACTCTGCATATAACATTAGGTGAGAGGGTATTAAGGCAATGGTGAGCTTAATGGATTTTAAGAAAAAATTGAGAATTTTGCAACTCTGAAATGTTCAAACTTTTCTTGAAAAGTTGTTATTTTTATTTCATAGGTGCTTGTGCACTGTAATCATTACAAATACACTAAAGAATAACAAAAACTTTAGTATGAGAAAAAGCGTCCTATAAAGAATTTGAGAAGATTTTTCAAGGATCAGCCCTTGAAGAACCACTAATCCAAAATATCTGAAATAAAAGTGTAGAACAGCTAAGGTCACTGAACATTTATTAAAATTCCTCTGAAACATCCCTTTAATCAGTTAAATATAGCCCAGAATCGAAGGAGCTTTAATATTTTGAAATCTCTCATAAATATTGAAAAAGACTCATTTGAGAAGTGTATTTTTGTCTATTTTCTGTCACATTTTCAGTTGAGTAAAATTCATATTCCATCATGTTTAGTATTTCTATTTGCATGAGCTCAGTGACCCTGGTTATATAGATGAAAATGATAAGTGGACCTAAAAATTGTGAGAAAATCACGTGCTTCCTGGTTTCAGCTATCTTGGAACTATAATGTCACCTAAGGTCAAAACCAGCTGAATATTCTTTTTCAATTTTGTCTATATTTCCTCAGATAATGTCTTCTTAATTCAAAATTGACAAGCCATTCTGCACAGAAATTAAGGACCACTTGTCTAGAAGTAAAATTGAGCTTTTCAATAGTACTGTTAAATGTCATCCCTTCCTTTGAAATTTTAAAAGATGGCAGCCTACTGAAAATGACCCTTATATTTTTAAATGATCAATATTGACCAAAGAAAACTATTTTATAAGTTTACCAAGCACATCAGGTGAGAAACAGTCTGGCAAGGAATATACTTTTAATAACCCTCCTATGATAAACATGTTGTTATCTTACGTTAAGACTCCAGTGTCATCTACAATGACTCTTGATGCAACTCCTTTTGTGATGAATTTGCCAGTTTTGATAGGAAGAGCAGGTGGGGGGGAAATGTTCCCTTCAGATGCCTCTGCCATCTTGACACTTATGGTTCTGCCCTCTGTATCATCTCATTGACTAGACTCATTACCTGTAAATTTGAAATTGTGAAACAACATGTACATGTACGTCTACAAAAATATTAATACAGTTTAGAACAAAATAAATGACAGGTGGATTTTCTATCACCATATCCAAACCATGGTGTTTTGAAAGCCCTAAAGTCTCAAATATTGCACATGCTATCTATTGCAAGACTTATGCCTGTCACAACCGTCACCATGTTATTAAGTGTTTTTAAGTTTCGCAAGGATCCTGCCATGACCCTGGTATTGTTATCGTGAAAGCCTGGTATAACCGTGACATTGCTATATTATATTGCAAAATTAAGGCCTGCTATGACTGTGGTAATGTTAAAGCCTGATATGACCGTGACAATGCTATGTTATTTTGCAAGGCCTGTCATGACCGTGGTAATGTTAAAGCCTTGGCTATGACAATGTTCACGTTCTTGAATGAGATTAGAATTATAGTTTGTGGAAATGAATTATGAGTTAAAGTACTAGTCTAGATTTACATATTTAAGGTAAACCAGCTGTAGTGGCTTAAGCCTTTATAGCTCAGTCAGTAGAGCATCAGACTTCGAATCTTTAGGGTCCTGGGTTTGATTCCCATGCAGGGCATTGAATTTTGCAGACTTGCTTTCAATTTCATTATCTGGCTTGTTACACTATGCTCGTTAGTTAGGCCTTCCCCTGGGGCATCCTCGGGTCATTACAATAGCATTGTCACTTTCATGATAACAATACCACGGTCATGGCAGGATCCTTGCTAAACTTAAAAACACTTAATAACATGGTGACGGTTGTGCCAGGCATAAGTCTTGCAAAAGATAGGGTCGCAAATATTGTCTAGAGTCCATTTCACTGCTTCATTTCGTCAGTAGAGCGGCAAAAATAAGAAATTGGGAGACCATTGTGCAATAATATATGGAAAAGTATATTCATAATGTACATGAATGACATTTGTATATTTCAGATTTTTTAGTTTTTTGTGCAATAAACCTGTGCCGTCTTGTAATTTGAAGAATTTCAGCCATGTTAATCTTATTGAAAATAACATGGCAGAGAAACATCCAAATATAAGAAGCCACACACTTTATAAGCCAAACTAGAAGCAATCCAAGATATACAAATGTCATTCATGTACATTATGAATATACTTTTCCATATATTATTGCACAATGGTCTCCCAATTTCTTATTTTTGCCGTTCTACTGACGAAATGAAGCAGTGAAATGGACTCTAGATACATATCCCTAATATTTGTATGTTTTACATTTTATATACTATCATCGACTGGATGTATGACCTCTTGAAAATTCTCTTATTTTTAACCACAGATGTTGGCCAGATTGTTTTGTAGTAGGATCATAGGCTCAAAGAATAATTCACAAGATACGACACTCAATTGGAAAATTTCAAAAAAAAATTGACCACCTTTCAAAATGTTCCTTATACAAAACGGTACCTGCTTCCCTGTGACAGATTTTGCACTTATTTTATAGCTGAGATCTTCATCTTTCTATTTCTACTTGTTTGGTTCGAGTAAATAACCTATGGATACAGTTATTTGACTTTTAATATGGCGAATATTTTTCACGAGATCCGGACTCTTGTGTGTCCAAATATCATTGTACTGATGAGTGATGACGTCACATTTCTGGAACCACGGGAGCAACATTCAGATTTGGACAGACAAGAGTCCGGCGATAAAATATCACTGTTTTGGCCTCTTATCAACGCAGTATTGCTTGAATAATGGTCATTGGTGATAAAAAAAGTTAAAGAATAACAAGACGCTTCGAATGAGGTATGATTTGTCACATATTTTTCAGAAATGGCTCCACAATCGTCATTTTAAAATTTGAAATTTTCCGAGGTGTCTCATCTTGAGGAATATTTATTGAGCTACTGATTTTACTACAAAATAATCTTGCCGGGATCTATGTTTTTAACATGGGAAATCCTCACTTCAACAAATCCATGTGTCATTATGTATTTTTGTTCCAACGAAAAGCTGTAAAAATAAAATAATTTTGAACGTACACTGGACTGTTACTAGGAACATGTTCAGGACAGAGAGATGAAGCCATGTAATAGTTGTATCCTCGTTACCATTGGTCATAAAACATTCGATAGAATGTATCCATGAAGTCTATGAAGGATAGAAATATTAGCAATATCACGAATAGATTAGATCGATAAAAATAATGGAAATATTTCTTACTTCCGGTTATCCAGTAAAAACACGAACGCTTTAGACATTCCAAACTGGCTGGTGATGAGATTATCAATCATCGTCGGAGATAGACCCTGGGCTTGGATAGACCCATGGTCTAATAATTCACGATAATTAAAGTTTGAAGCACTGAAGTCTATGCGGCTTTTTAAATCTGTCACGGGGAGTAACTTATGTCACACCCTTCTTAATATTCGCTATTGATTTAAAAGCTGGCGACACTTCTATAAAATGAATGTATCACTGATGTAATACAAACAGCTTTGCCATCTTTCAATTTACATTGATAAAAACTTGATAGTAAAGCTTGACAGATCGAAAATATTTTTTGATAATTTATTGTAAGCTTTGAGATGTGGTCGATAGTGTTGTTAGTGTCAAATGATAGATAAGGTTCTTATAAATACATTGGACATACTATTAAATTTAAATGTAAGTCTTTATTTTGCTCAAATGTTGAAAATTCCTAAAGTGGGCCTTTAAGGTTATTCTTTCCAAACAACATTTTTGAAAAATATCCTATACCTGCACATGTTATTTTCTGGTCCAAAATAAAGTATGAAAGTATGTATGTATTCCCATGCTTATTTCAGGAAAGTATCTTTGCAATGTCTTCTTTTAGTAAACCTGGTAACAGGTCAATGGTAACTCCAAGAAATGCTGATATTTCAAGAAAAATCATTCAAAATGGCCGCCTTTTCAATTTTCCAAATTTCTTCTCAAAGTTTCTCGATCAATAACACTGGATTCCCATTGACCACTTACTAGGTTTACTTAGAGAAGACAATGTAATGATACTCTCCTGAAAAAGCAAGGAAATACACACATGCCTTCATACTTTATTTTGTACCAGAAAATAACATGGGCAGGTATAGCATTTTTTCAAAAATGTTGTTTGGAAAGAATAACCTTAAACCTCAAATATAGGCTACAGATTATAAGAGGGTGACTTACTCCCCATGTAAAATATATCACTTTAGTCAGGCTTCCTAGACTTCCAACAACGCGAACATCAGTACTGATACCGCGAACTACGTTCCTTGCACTCGAACCACGATTCTTACACCGCGAACGTGAAATCTTTAACTGCGCACCACCATTTCCTTGTTTCCGAACATATTTCTCGACCCGCGCACAGAGAGGGTTTACGAAAACACCGACCGCTGACCACCGACTAGTCACTCTCCACAGTTGGGTCAGGTGGTTGTTGGTCGGCTGTCGGTCTTTTACATAAAGATGACTAAGATGCAAACCCCCGGTCAGAATTCCTGAAAAGGAGGGGGAGTTGTTTGTAGAATGAATCGAGGGAGTTTTTTCAAGCATTCCCCTTGTTTTTTATCCAAAAACATTAATACACGTTGACACATTTTATTGACTGTAAGATTGCACCATATAATCCCCAAAAATATTTTTCATTTACAAGGGTTATCTATATGGATTAACACCCAGGTATTTTCATTTTTCTAACTTCAGAGGACTGGGAATCATTGATCCTATTCGCTTTTGAAAAATATAAGTGATGTTTTAAATAGTTTCATGTATACCATTAATTTCTCAAATTGTGGAAATGATGCCAATTCCTTAATCCCTAGAATTTTCTCTTTGAGGAATTTCCCATAGAAATCCAATGGTACAGTTCCAAGCAGATTTTGAGATAACAGTAAAGTAAATCGTTAATACACACCTTTTTGGGTTGCGATATAAACCAAAACATTTCTTTCCAGATTATTTACCTTGCGGGAAACCATGGGCTTTCAATTAGATGAAAGCCAATGGGGAAACGGAAATAACAATTTTGTTGATAATCCATTGAGGCAAGATCTTGTTCTCTAGTAGCATTGTCTCATCATGAGTAAGCTTTGAATTGCGAATCATAATTATACTTATAAAAATTGCCATATTTTTTATCAACAATAAACATCAATTTTCTCAAATATCAATTTTGTATAAAGACTCCAATTAACATGATAAATGTTATAAGTTAAACCGAGTGATCACATTGCAACACAGCTGGTTCATTGGATAATATTGTGTAAAGTCGCAAAGATTCACCGTTTATTTGATTGAAATGGAATACAAAAAGGTCAAATTACTATGTGACAAGATTTGAACTAAAATATTTAAGCGATCAGGTGTGACCAGAGCCATTGTTCGTAAAAGCTCATGGATTACGTTTATTGCCAACATAGGGTTTGTATCGAGGGACGGTTATTAAAGTGATTTAGATTCGTGCCAATTGCTAACTCCATGATGACTCGATCATTATATCGCCAAACATTAGGCCTACGAGATGTCCATTGAAGTGATCATTTGTCTGTGTTTTTTATCAGACTCCAGGGCTGTATTTTCGTATACACGCGGGTGCAATACACCCGCACAGCAGTTACACCCCAGTCACATTTGTCGTAAGGAGGCCAGGCGTCGACCGCAGATCAAATCAATGAATTACTGCGGCGAGCGTGAAAAAACTACACTCGCCTTGCGGTCTCCTTACGGCGTATCCAGTTTTTTACAGGCCGCAGGGTCGCCGTAGAAATTATAACTCGGAGTTATAATATTTGTTCATTTCTGAGGTCCCCGTAGAAATCAACTAGTACTGGCTCAACAAGATTGAATCATTATTTGTCAATGTTTCACGATCACCTTTCATTTGATATTATATCCTAGCACTATGAATAACATTTATAAATTGTCCTGATGTAAATAAAATGAAAAAAAAGTATTATTTATCAACAGAAATTTAAAATTCACCGTGCGGCTGCCTTGGGAAATGTGACTGCAAAGGTATGTGAGCGCAGAAATTCTACGGCGAGCGTAGAAAAGCTACTGGCCGCAGAAATGATAGACCGCACGGCAGCCGTGGGAAATGTGACTGGGGTGTTAATGAGCCTTACCATGAAAACGATCAATGGACTTCACGGTGTGAATTGCTTGGTCGCATGTTTTTTACAAAAAACGATTCAAGCGCACACAGGGTGTCAATGGCACCCTGTGGTACTCCAGCGATTGACCGGAACGAGTGTAACTGACAACGTTGGCACAGGGGTATTAAAATGTTTAAGTGCGCTTGAATGAGCTGTTATTGTTGAAAACATCACTGCTACCCACCTAGTTACACAGACGTATCGTCAGTGTATCATGGCGGAACTACTTCCGGGATTTGAATTCGGTAAGATATTTTTATTTCTCGATTTACATCTACTTATAAATCACGATGTGGATTATAATTTGGCTCGAAGTTATGGGAGATAGTCTAGTTTGAGAATGTGTCGATGGTTTTAGGTTTGGTATGTTAACGAAGACGCATTTCACATATTTAGTCCCTCGCTTTTGTTACACTGACGATCGGCATTAATATTCCCAATATTACACTGATATTGGTCGTTCGTCAGTGTAACAAAAGCGAGGGACTAAAAACGTGAATTGTGTCTTCGTTAATATATATAAAACCTTAAACCATCGACACATTCTCAAACTAGACTATCTTCCTTAACTTCGAGCCAAATTATGATCCACAACGTGACTTATAAGTAGGTGTAAATCGGGAAATAAAAAAATCTTACCGAAACCTAGTCCCGGAAGTAGTTCCACCATGATACACTGACGATACGTCTGTGTAACAAGGTGGGTAGCAGTGAACATGTGAGCATGTAATTTGCATCGCAGAGCTTTTTGTTCTTTTTCTGATACCAGCTGACAAGGCTCATTAGTGCTGTGCGGGTGGATTGCGCACGCTGGCATACGAAAATGCAACCTTGATCTTGTCATCGGGTTATTGCTAAAGATTACCATCTTTTTAATTTAATACTTCCAATATAGGCCAGTCAAACTAATGAAAAAATAAGCTTAACCCAAAACAAATTGCAATCGTTTTCAAATTAGGTTAGTTAATTAACCTTGAAATACATACCAAAAATCTACCAAAATCGAAGTAGTGGAACAATGTAAAAATTAAATCAAACATACCCCCTACCCCACCCCCTTTAATTCATGAGTGTATAACTAAAAACTTATTTCTTAAAGTTGAGGTCTTATTTTTATAAAATGTAGCTTGACCACTATTGGATATTGTTTTTCCTAGATAATAAAATTGTTTTAACAAAGAAAACCTTTTTAACCCTTACAAACCCAGAAAAAACAGAAAAATCTCTCACATTTCACATATACTAATTGGAATGTGTTTTTTTATATTATTGGAACCTTCTAGAAAATGTCCTATAATTTATAAAGATTGACCAAGATTCACTTATCATTCCTACGTAATATTGAAATGATAGGTTTATTGAATTTTGAGAAATAATTGTTTTAACACCGTATGGTTAGGCTACAAGAATGAAGGTCGGAAGATGAGATTTATACAAACGAGAGGAAAAGGCACAAATAAGGTACCGTTGTAAAGCTTACTACTCAACCTTTAAAAATACACTTGAATCCGAGTGTCAATTGTGTTACAAATAGTGTCAAATGCCAGTTTCCATAGCAATCATTTGAATATCGTTAAATGAATAAACGCAAAGAGCACACGCGTCTCGAACTCGCAACCTCGTGGTTACGGCCCCCATCGCTTAGCCTGACTAGGCTGCTGATTAGGCTGCAGATGTTAACGCTCAGACACACCAGAGGAAGCACCCTACCCTTTTTCCCTTTGACACAAGTGCTTACATATTTCTAAATAATAGATTTAATACATTATTAGGCATATTCCACTCATTATCCGTCGACTCAAATTGATATTTGTATCATAATGAAGCTATAAATATGCAATTAGCTCATATGCAAATTAACTCATTTGCCTTTATTATGACGTCATATGATGTGTATTTTTATCGTACCTAAAAAAGGTACAATATTGTCCTCAGCTTGGCGGGTGGGTGGTCTCTCATTTTTCTTGTCAGCACAATACCAGGAAAACCACTTCATGGATTTACTTCAAATTTTCACACATGTTACATGGTAAGAAGTTCTAGATGTGATTAACTTTTCGGTGGCCATCTTGCATTCTGACGGCCATCTTGAAAGTTTTTTTTATTAATCTTGTCATCACGATTTCGGGAAACCACACAACGGATTTATTTCA